AATATGTGAGAGAAAGATTTTTTTAGGGGAATTTATAGGTTTTTTTNAACGGCTAAAAAGAGGGGAAGGAAACGCGTCAAAGTTATGAAGCGGTGCGTCTCACGCCGGGATGAAGCCCATGGGGGCAGTGTTTAATGCCCCCTGGCGTTAAACTCGGCCATCACGCCCACCGGCGTGAAGACCATTACCACTGCCCTTATAGTCAAAGAGTAACATTGTTTGATTAAAAAAAGTCAAAACAAAAGATGTTTGAGGTAGTAAGATATTTAAAACAATTAAGCAACAAACAAGAATAAAATGTTCATTCCCTCCCCAATTAAATTGGAAAAAATTGAGCCAAAATTTAATCAAAACCTCCCTGTCCCGGGAACAAATTTGCATTTTCATCTTTGGATGTTTAAAAACTAAATCCACACACGATCAAAATTAAACTGACTCACATTATTTCTTTTATGAGGGACTATTCTTTTCAATTGAAATTTTACGGTTAAAAATTAGAAAAAATTAAAAAAAAACACTAAAAGGGGTTTAAAAACCCGTTAGAGATTGGAAAAGATTAGAAACAAATTGAAAAAACTAAAAGAAGTTAGTAAATGATATAAGCTAAGTTCTCAATCCGAAAAGAACAGGCACTAAGTGTACACATGTTTTTTTGAGCTCTAAGTTTATTTCAAAAGAAAATATTCATCTATAATAAACTTATGAAAAATATGAGACGGTTCATATTTTATATATGAATCTTAGGACCATAATACCATAAATTTTCGCTTTTCTAAAAATAATTGTATTTTTGTTAAATTATGAGTACTCAAAATGAATACTTTTTTTATTATATTTAATCATTTACGAAGTATTTATTTACAATAATTCATAAATTTTATGCATAGTACATTAGAACTCCATGTTGAGTAGGCTTTGAATGAGTATGATTCAAAGCAACAAATTATATGGTAAAGCCAGATATATCATACTTCATAATAAATTTGTAATTAAAAAATATTTTAGACTATATTATTTTAAAATGAACACTATGTTATTTTAGAATGAATACTATGTTGATGAGTAGGCTTTGAATTAATGCTACGTTATTTTAGAATGAACACTAAATTGATTTAAAATGAATATTTACTAGATATACGTACTTCCGCGTAAACCCAAATTTATACTCCGTAATATAGGATCTCATGGTAGACGAATTTTTTTGTAATGGGAGAAAGAATCAAATTCCAAAAAGTAGACCAATTCGAATTTAATTCTCATTCGGAAATACGTAAGCCATTCATGGGAGAAGCAATCATGTCTTCTCTCCCTCCCCAAAAGAAAATTAGTACACTCATTCTGACCTAATTTGATTACAAATTGAGAGTGACCATATAAAATTTTACGTTTTTTAAAAACATTTTATTTAGAAATCGATATATCAATAAAAAAATAAAATTACATATTAAAAAATTATGTCAAAAGTTCTACAAAATGAGAGGTGACGGAAATATTTTAGTTTATCAAATATTAAATGAAAACACATAAATAAACAAAAGTTATCGATAAAGAGCATTTATTGCCTCACATATTTTACGAAACTTAAAAAGAGCATAGAAAAAATGGATGCTGGAAATTTATTTAAAAGAAAAGTATTATTATATACGTACTACATATTTTTTTTTCTTTTATTAGGTAAGTAAAGGTATAGCATAATTATTTTAGAAATAAAACAAAGATAAAGATTAATTTAGAACGAATAAAGTAATTCATTGATCATTTAGTGAAGTAACATAGTTACATCATATTTTGTTCCATACAATTCCTTATTGCCAAATTGTTTCAATTCATATAATTCTTTATGTAATAAATTAAACAAAATTTTTTAAAGCTCATATATACTACTTTCAACAAAATGTTTTCTGTTTCGCTATTCACATATTTATCCTTAGTAATTGCTTTACCTGTTACATCATACGGAATACTTATACACAAAGGTACTGGGGAGGCATTGCCTCCCACCCATCTAGCCTCAGCTCTATTAAATAAAAGGTGATAAGATTATAATATATTATTAAGTATTTGATGAAATAAAATATTTTTGTCATCCCTTGTTTTGTAGAAGTTTTGATGTAATTTTTAAATATGTAAATTTTATTTTTTATCTATATATCAATCATTAAATAAAATGAATTGAAAAAACTAAAAATTTTACTTCATTTTGCGTAAAGAATAAATGATTTAGGAACAGAGGGAGTATTAAATTTCTGAAAATAACCTTAATATGATGGAAATAGTAAGTAATGAGTAGATTATTAATAAAAAAGAATGATGTGATAAATAGAATAAGAATTAATGAATTAAAAGTAATTAAAAAAGTACGGAGTATCATAAAGTATCATAAAATAGATGGAAAAAGTATAAATATAGACCTTATATGCCCGAACTTGTCTTCACCGTCTATCATAAAAGGGTCATGCTACACTTACACCACAAATTGTACCCCATTTGTACACCGCAGTTATACATAAACACTTTGATGGTTTACACCGGCACAAATGTTGGTGCGTTAACAAAAGTTTACACGGACACAAAGTGTTGGTGCATTAACAAAAATTAGTTTTCCACCAACACAAAATGTTGGTGCAAAGCTGCGGGGTACAAAGTGGGGTACAAAACATGGCATACAAATAGCTTTATCCATCATAAAATAGAGAAAAAGAGAAACCTAGGTGGGTCCCCGAGAGAGTAGAGCTGAGTCAAGAAATAGTCCACGCCACACGGGCCCCACGTCCATCGACATGTTTCTTTCGACGGTCGGCCCATTTAACCGTCCAAAACTGAGATGATGGAGCCCACGCAATATCCATCTTACCTTCTCGGTCCAGTCGAAAATTAAAGTCCATTAACTTGACTGCAGTACTTCCAAACAGCCCATTTGAGTAGTTGAGTGCAGTAAAAACACTCGGTAGTATTTTCTTTTTAGGCCCCGTTTGGTACACGAAATTCAAACTTTGGAATTGGAATTGAAGACTTCAATTCCAATTTTGGTGTTTGGTAGCACAAAAATTATGTGGATTTTGAATTGATGGTGCAAAAAATGAATTGGAATTGGTGAATTCAATTCTATGGAATTGAATCTCATGGAATTTCAATTCCAATTCAATTCCAATTCTATCAATTCCATATACCAAACGGACCCTTAGATATTTTTTATGTTTATAACCCCATTACTGAGAGCCCGCATTCAACCTAACAGTCACAGAGAGAAGATAAATTAGACTTTAATCATATATTGGTGGCAAAGTGGGAGTCTGCACGTGGTACTTGCAAAGGCCACATGCATAGCATAGTGCCTCTCAAAGCAGTAGCCAGGAACCGAACTCAGATCTTATCTCCTTGAGGCTCCTTACATTTGTTAACGGCACCACGCCCGCCAACATTTTTAAATAAAAGCTATGCATAGGAGCATAGGACTATTCATCGCTCTAAGACCAAATTGGACCAGACAAAGGACCTAAATCCTAAAAAAACCAGATGAGAGATCACACCTAACAAATTTTGGTTCGGATCAGACATCAAAAACCTATTTCGATTTCCTATAGAAATGAAAATAGATGAAGGATAGTAAAGCAAACTCCTCTCTTCCAAATCATATTTTGTAGGTCCAACATACAACTTTTCTATCAAATTTTTTCCCCTTACATAAAAAAGATCACTAATAATAATTTTATTACTCCATTCATCTCTAACTTGATTATATCCTATGAGGCTAAATCTCTCATTTTTTTTAAAATCATTTTATTTATAAATTAGTACATTAATTGATTCGGTCTATTTTCTCGATCACGACCGAATGATGACCACCCCTACTGATGCAAGGATTGCTCTATCATCAAATCACTTCAAACAATTAAGATTAAAATTAAAACCAAGAACAAAGATTTTCTAAATAACACTCTACTTATCCAAAAAATATATATTTTTAAAAATGGGATTGACCTGTTTTTGCCGGTCGGTCAGGTTTAGATTTGGACGGGCTCGACCTATTTTTAGCGGATCAACTTCAGGTTCAATCAATAAAATCTTTGTTTCAAAATCCAATATTTTTGTATCAAATCTCGGATCGATATTTATCCGGTCTAATAAATACTAAAATGCTGTGCGAAAAAAGACACACTGCAGTGTGAAACAGTAACACATGAATTTATTACTAGTACGCTTTGAAAGGGTACCACAATGAATTTCTCTCTCCAAAAAAAAGTCGTTGCTGCATTGTTAGATCAATTCTTTCTTCTGTAACGTCCATCCATGCACCTTATTTATGAGACAGATAACCCATTGACTACATTAAAAACACTTCTTCCTATAATACTACTGTTTTGTGGTGTGTTTGGAAGTGAGAACCTACCTAACATAAAATTAGATGTACTTCCAATTTTAGCCAGACCGTTTTAGGAAGCTTCAACTATGTAGACTTGCATAAATTTCATTCAATTTATTTGAGAATTATTTTCCCCAGGCATGGAAAATTACTTAAATAGAACTAAAACATAATGTTTTTCTCAATATAGGACCATATGTTTTTATTTATCAATATATGACCATTGGTCATTATTCATTAGTCATTATTCAAGTAAATGTCCACCATCACTGGACATTATTCCTCCCACTAGACATTATTAAGTCTTATTTAGGGAATAAAAAAGTTTAAATCCTATATTGAGAAATGACTTATGTTTTAGTCCTATTTAGTGCAAATTTTTCCTAAATCAACCGAATAGACGGACAGATTGAGTTCAATGAGACCTCCTCAAGAAGGTTTTTGTGATAAATAAAACGACAAAGTCTTCATGTTCAACAGGTGGGATAGGTATCACTTGAAAACGACACTGAGAAAACTCAACTGCCATTGGAGAAGCATGTTTCTGGACCAGCTAGTACAAGAAATGCTTTGACTAGTCAAAATGGCAAACCATGTTTTTTTTTTTAATAAAATTCTTAGTTAAATTGACTCGGTACAATTTTACCAACCTTTGTTACAGCACACTAGGGGAGTAATCTTAAGTTATTCTGATGAACTGTTACAGCACATCAACTTTACATTCAAGGGTAACTATAGTTTTACAGGGAAAAAAGAATAAATCACTTTTACATTCAAGAGTAACTCTACTTTTACTTGAGAAGAAGAAAAAATTCATACCTTAGAAGAATATCAATCCACGAGGGACAATTAACGTCTCTGCTTACATCACCAAACCAAAATGTCAAGAAGCAATTCACTCGGTGTTCTGAAATGAAGAAACATATAATACACATTAGTTGAAAGTAGAATCTAATAATTTTGAACCCGTTTGATCTGGCTCAAAATGGCTCAAGTTGTCAAATCTACTCAAGTAGTTGAAAGTATGGCAGAATTGGATTAACTCGGGACAACCCGAATAGGAAATAAGGAGGATTGATTGGGACAGAGGGAGTACTATAATAGGACTTTCAATTAAACCAACCAGTGAAATAAGTCTTGATGAAAAAAGCTGGATGAAGTGCTGAAAATAAATCCTACCAAACAGGCTCTTGAAGTGACCATCTATCAGACAAACACTAACCTGGAATAAAGGGATGCACAAAACTCTTGCAGTAATACTCCTCATGGTAGCTGGATCAAACTAGCAAATGGATGGTTCTTTCATAAAGTTTCTCTTCTGCTCTTGTGTTCATTGAAGTAATCAGGTCTGGATTTGAGTCCCCTTGATTTGCATAAGCTCTGGACATTGAACTCCGAATGAAGAAATCCATGAATTTTTAATCTGTAGAAACGGGATTTCTCTGGTCCTCAGAGACGTAAGAATGAAGAGTTAATCCGAGCTTTTCTTTTGCCCATTTGTTTAGTGCACTTTCTTTCCCTTCCAGAGCTTCAACCATGATATCCAGCTCACTCATGTCATAGCGATAAAAAAAGCACTTAGAACTCCATTCACAAGAACATAGCAGCTTGACATGGCGAAGGCAAGTGTATTTATTAGGTGAACATGAACACCCAACTGCAGAAAGATGTAGATCATAATAACATGTTATGCATTCTCTTTTGGTGCTAGTGTCAAAGTCCTCCCCCATTACTTGTGTTTGAAGCGTAATGCATAGATACTTTTGTCTCATTCCTTCACTCTTAACACGGGCCTATCAAAGTAAAACAAATACATATACATCTTGTGATGTGATAAATCATGTTTGTGCACGTACACATAAACTAATAAATGATGTAAGGAAACAAGTGAACATACAAAACCAAGTCTGTAATACAGATATGTTCTACAAATTATAGTAAACGAAGTAACAAACCAGAGTACCAGACATTTGTCAAACTACTGCTCAGATTAAGCGTGTATAATCAGGAATGCAAACAAGTGGCCCAGAATAGATTCATTGTTGAAATTGTCAAACTAAGATCATTTGCATTTGTTGAGAATCACACATCAGTTGTCTAGAATGTTTGAGTTTAGTTACTTTAGTATCTAAAAGTAAACATGAGAAACATCTAGCTTCTGGAACATCTTAGACCTAATTTAATACAGCCTCGTCTGATGGTGGTTTGTGGGACACCCACCAACTCTATGTTTTAAGAATTGAGTTTGTGGTTAAAATTGGACTCATTTGTCTTCCCCTATTGTTTTACAGCCAGCCTTGACAAGGGATTTAGTCTAGTATATAAATGTAATTATGAGTTAAGTCCCACCTCTTGAGTCTTGATGATACTTTAAGACTGAATTGGGCATTTGGGCCTAACTCGACAACATTCATTAACAAGCTAGGCACTAAGTGCTCAATTGCATATAGTACCAGTATTGTTTACCATTGGCTAAAGGGCTACTACATGATAAAAGAAATCTAGAGTTCTCTAAATATCTAAAACATTTCTTCTGGACTGGCTACACACATCTCATTACTAAGTAACTCAAACTACACATGATAAACACAAACAGCGCACAGAAAACATGAAGGATCCACATATAAGGCTAGTTTTTTTTTTTTTTTATAATTCTTCCCATTTGACCAGAAAAGTGACCTTCACTTTTCCAGTTAATACCAAACAGCCCTTGATTGACCTTCTAGTTCTGTAGCTTGGCAATTAAAACCTCTTGCACTATGTAACTATCATAATCAATGAGCACGAGCTCCTCAACCAGCATATCACATTAGTGTCAAACCAATCACCCAATCCAACTACTACACCTTCCTGGTTCGACTTCCCAGCCAAACCGACAAGGCAGCGACTTTGAAGAAGTTAGATGGCAAATTAAATAAGAATAAAATTAATAGGTATGAAATCATAATAAGCTCCTAATGAGTTCCCAGTGAATTTGTCCCACTACCATTAGATCCTAAGGACCACTAGTGATGCCTAATGCTTTATACAACACCTGGAGAATAGTTTCGTTAATATTCAAACTATCCAGCTTGGGTTGCACAATGCACATGCTTGATATTAGTCTGATGCATAATAGTTCTGAAATTGAATGGAATTATAAAATAGATACATTATAACTCTAAAAGAACTAATACTCTTAACCAGTTTGTTAGACACACTCGGTTTATAGTTTAAAGACACGCTCTTGTTTTCGATTGAGTTGGGTAGCTGAACAAAATAAACATGAATATAGCAAATGCTAAAAACGTCGAGCCTGTGCACAGTAATCCAAGATAAGTTGAACATACACAGTACATTGAAATTTAGCTTGTTTAAACCTAAAAGACCATCACTGCAATAAATTTAGTGGATGGATTATGATATTCTGAGCTCTCTAAGTACACTGGGATAGATTAAGGGTGGGGTAGGCAATGTATGTGACATAAAACTAGGATCTAATCGAGGAACTTTATGTGGCACAGCTAAAAGGGGGCCTAGTAACACTGGAGTCATATAAACTAGAAGTTTACCTTGATTGCTTTTGTCAAAGTTCCATCCTTCCCACAGACACTACTCCATTGAAAATTATCAGAACAATCTTTAACAAACAAATGTTTAGCCAAGGATTTAATTGCTTCTCCAGCTGCTCCAAACAACAGCTTATCATAAGAGATCGATGTCTTTCTATGAAACTCACTATATCGTTCTACAGCTAATTGACCATGAGGCAACCAGTCAAATGGAGCAAAGTTTACAGCCTCAGAACAGTTAAAGCCAGAATCAAGTTGAGAGTAGTACGATCCAGGCAAAACAAGAACAAACTCCTTTGGATGTTGTAAACAGCGATAAACAGGTATACCTTCAGATATCAAAGTTGAGAGGGAAATTTGAGTGGCCTGCAATGAATATGAAATTCAAATCTCCATTAATAAATTTTTTAACCTCAAATTCCAATTATATTCAAAATTCCCCAAGCAGAAATATTCAAGGTTGTATCGGAAGAAAAAATGAATGAAATTGAATGTCAAACCTTTTTGTTTCATGGATGAAAAGCTTTCATTAAGAATACACACACACACACAGAGACATTATATATATATATATATAGATTCATATGAGAATGATGCATAGTGAAAGATATGAGAATTCATACGATGCATTGGATTCAAGATCTAATGGCTATTAAAAATTGAAAAAAACTGAAAAAGGAATGGAAAAACTGCAGTGGCGTTTTGTAAATATATCAAACTTTATGGCCACTGCCAAAAATGCACTACCTTATTCGAAAAATGCACCATGACCCTTAATGTGAGAAATGAGAATGATTCATTTTTGGTGAGAAATGAGAATAAGGTAGTGTATTTTCACAAATGGCAGGAAAGTTTGTTTTATTTACAATTATGCCACCACATTTTTCAGTTATTTCCTCATTTTCAACTTATCACAACATTTAGATCTTAAATCTGATGGATCATATGCATTCTCATTTCTTTCATTGTGCATCATTCTTGTTTTAAATCTCTCTCTCTCTCTCTCTCTATATATATATATATATATATGTATATATATATGTATGTGTATATATATATATGTATGTGTATATATATATATATATATATATATCTGTGTGTGTGTGTGTTAAATTTTGCTTTTCACAAAGTACCCTCACTCACAATCCACAGTTAACATTCACACTTAGCTTAGCTCATGCCACTCTTAGAACCATTTTTGAAAAGTCTACACAGACATGTTCTCTGGTATTATAATGTATAGTAAGCAATACAAATGGCAACCTATGATCCAATATTTCCAAGCCTAATACATATTGTGTTTCAATCTTCCATTGGTGAAGGAAACACATAAGGTGTGTATCTATATATAGAACTCACAACATCGAGAAGCAACCAAGGATGTTTTGACGATTCTGGAATGTGCTTCTTCACAATCTCTTCAAACTTGAAGCAATACTGCTGAGGAATGACATACCATATTCTTGGAGCACCCAAATGCATGTAACATAACGAGTATAAATGATGCTTTTCAATTTTCTGTCACATTGAAAAGGAAACAGAGATGATCAAATATAGAATTCATGGGAGCATCACATTTTGGGAGTGAATGGACCAAGTATCCAACAAAACTAAAACAGATGCACCAAAAAGAAACAAGTTAAAGAAAGGCTATCACTAAATTCACTCCTCATTTGGCTATATCCACACTTTCTTATTGAAATAGATAAGTTTACCCTTTATATTTATAAAAGGGAAAGAGAGAAGTGAAAGGGTAAAGTTGAAATTTCTTATGAATGGAGTGAATTTACCAAATAGGGTGTGGATTCCTAGTTTCATATTAAGATTCCTTTGGCTTACCCAGAAAGTTGATGAGAAGCACATTCCTATACTGAGCTGAGGGTGCAACATGGAAGAAGTGTCACAGGCATCATAACGAAGAAGAGAACCTTGAAGCATAGATGTATTATTCAAATTCCAGCCTGACTGTATATCAACAGGATTCTTGGGCATCTTCTGTCCATTGTGTTTAGCTGGAGACCCACTTCTAAAGATTTCAGCATCAACATTAGCTGCATGGAGCACCTATTGTACCATATGAGGATTAAGTCCAATGATGGTAAAGTACGAGTATTAGAAGACCACTCAACTATAAAATGTCAACATCGCACCTCAACTTTTTCATTAGGTTTCTCGATTATTCGCCAATATTCACCTTCTATGTTCCGAATAGAAGGTCTGAATATCTTGCTTAACGGAGGTGAACTAGCATTTCGGTCAATATCAACATCCCTCTCACTGAAGTACTGTTTTTTGAAGTTATCTGCATAATCCTTAAAGCCTTGGAGGGTGAACTCTGGTCCAGATTCAGATTGTAATATTTCTGATTGGCAATCCACTACATAGTGTCCTTTCCATGATCCCGAAACCAAATTTTTTACAGAACTTCGTTTCCTTTTGTGCCTCATCTTCAAATGAGCTCTATGAAGACTTTTCTTTAAAAACATGTCACCAAGCTCATCAATGTGCTGGATATGAGTGAAAAACTTAGAAGTATCCCATGTTTTCTTTTCTTCAATTAAATTTGGGGGTTCCCATGATTTAGGAGGAACAATACGGCATATTCCATAGTTCTCTACAAGTGAACGAATGCTTTCGACATAATTAAGTGTGTCCTTGAACTCCTGGCATTAGATTCAAACTCATCTGAATGATATACAGCAATTCCAAAATAGTGGTAGATATTATGATGACCAAATGAGACAAGCAACGAACCCAAAGGGAATACCTCTTCGGTAGGACAGAACACCGGAGCTTCTTCAAGCAAATGCACGCATGACTGTTCAGGCTGCCACCTCGCAACAACCTTTATTGTTTACCAAAAGCATAAAAGAAATTCACAGCAGATGGAGTTAGTTGTCATCCTGTTGAAAATATAAAAGTAAAAGCAATTCACACTTTTGGAACAAATAAGGAAAAAAGTACTACAGACTACAGACTACGCATTTGCTTGAGAAAATGCTAAAATCATAAGAACCTTCAGGCAATTGGCACAACTTGGACATCCCCGAATCACTCCATCAGGAAGACAGCCTCTCGAATACAAGCACTGCAGTAGAAATTTATAAAAATCAGACAAATAAAAACCACGAGCGAAGTAAAATCCCTCCCACTTTCGGCGATCTGGAATGAACAACACGACTATAAGATTAAAAAAATCGCCGCAAATGACCTCAAAATCATTTTCGGAATCATATTTGGGCTCTTCTTCAACGCGATCATAGACTATCCAGGATCTATTCTTCGTAGCAGACCGTTTATACAGCTCCGCATTAAAGACGCTCCGAACCGAACCAATCTGAGATGAAGTCTTCTCAGCTTCTTCTTCTTCTTCCTCGCGGAGCCGAGAATCATTCGCATTTTTAACCTTTTTAAGAGAGAAAGATGTTAGAGAGGCGAAACCTGGAGGAATTCGAATGTCTTCTTCCTCCATTATTATCACAGTAGAGAGAGCAAAAGAAGGAGAGGAGAATTGAAGAAGACGCGTTATGACTCATGACACACATGTGGACTGCATTTTAATGGGTCCGGTATAAGTTTAATTTTAAAATGGGTTGATTATGTTTTTTTTTTAGTTTTATTTTTGGTCTTTCTAAAATATTTTTAATATAATCTGCTTAGTAAAATCACTGTATTTGAAAATAGTCATTCCCTTATATATATATATATATATATATATATATATATATATATATATTCATCCTTGTAAAATTTATAAATTCTATTTTTTAGTATCTCTAAATTTATTTAGATTTCCTTCCTCTTTTTTATAAAATAAATTATTAATTACTTTGTACAAGATTAGAATATTCTTTTTAGTCATGATGAAGTTAATTACAACGTTAAAGTCATTGAAATATCTTATCAAGCTTAATTAAATGACAAAGTTACTAAATTAATATTTTTTCCAAAGTAATACTTTTTAATAAAAAAATCTTTAACTAAATTAATAGCATAGTCGTTTTTAATAAATATCTTTACTATTATTACACAAATAATCAGAAAATTACAAAAATTGTCTGAGATGGATGTTCCTTTAAAATTCCATTTGTTCCAATTCTATTTTTAAACTATCAAATTCTCCGACTATTTTTGTAAACATGTAATTTATAAATTTTACAAGCATCAAAACAAATATTTAAATTAGGAGATGACTCTTTATAAAAATTATAATTTTACAGATCAGAAATGGAATAAAAAATGTGATAAAGTAAAATATGAGTAATGTTTTTGTCTTTATTTTTTAATTAAAGTACAAAGAAATGGTAGAAGTACGTTGGCGCAAAAACAAAGAAGTCACTTCAAGTTTCTCTACGTTTAGTGTTCGAGTTCCGTCTCTATACTTAAGTAGTTGAGATAAAAAGATTGAATAAATATTTTAATTTTTATTTGAGAGCCACCAAAACAATTACTCCGTACAAAGGAATAAAAGGACAAAAGATGACAAAATTGTCATTTATGCCTCAAAAAAGCATACTTAGGAATTATGATTAAAGGGGTACAATTTTCTCTCCAAATGAGTGGAGAAAACTTTTAGTGTGGGTCCACGGCTAAAATTTTTTATTCTCGCTATTTCTAATAAAGAAAATAACTTTTGTATTGGCTTGAATGATATAGGAAAGTCCATTCTATATGATTTATAGAAATATTCATTCAGGACCGAACCCCAACAAAAAAGGTCAATAACAAAAAAAAAAAACCGAATCAGAGAAATTATTTAAAAATGTAATTCGTATGCTCGAGTGTTTGACTGTTTTTTTCTCTTAATCAAAAGTACTAAAAATATTTTAGAACTATTTCCCAACTTTTATATACCGAGCATTTGTTATAAAGAAAATAAAAACTGGACACTCCCAAATAGTTTAAATCGTTGTTATCTAAGGGTCCATTTGGAAAAGAGGAAAATGAGAGGAAAATGAGGACTCAATACATAGTACTATGGAGTATTAGATACCGAAAAATAGTCTCAAAAGACAACATTAATCTGAAAGAAAGGAAAAAAACAACAAAATGGAACCATACAACCAGCCACAGAGTACTACAATTACATAAACTTATAATAACCAAAGCAAACCAAAGTGTACATTGACACCCAAGACGATAAGTCCAGAACACAATCAGTACTTTGGAGCTGGCTTCTGTGTCGGCAACAAACCGAAACGCTTCTTTAGGAGCACTCTCTGTCTCGAGTATTTGTCATCAGGAGAAAAACGAGCTGCACACATTGGTTCACACACTTGGTTATGCATATAAATATACAGAGATTTACAAGGCTAAGCTAATCATATATTCAGGTAAGTGGTTAGAGACGGGAAACGTGAAGAATATCAGTAGAGCAACAAAAATTGAATTTTTTTAAAGAAGATATTACCTGGGTGAGCAGACTGTGTGGCCAGCCCAAGGGGTGATTCTTTCTGAAAGAACAAGAGAAACAACAGTCTTTAACATACGATACATTAACGCTGATACGTTCAGCTATTCGAGAAACTAGTGGGATAAAGGAAGACGTGACAGTTTCATTGTCATCAGCATTTAAGAGCTTTGGCAACATGGAGAATTATGAGACATTTTTTTTTGCTAAAATCTACAATTCATGTTCTCTATTTTTTCTTTCTGTTTTCACACTAAGGTCACGTTTCGTAAGGGCCTTCTCTGAAACATGTTGGAGTAGAAGTGGGGTTTGTGAACATCCCACATCACACCCAACTCTTGAGTGGGATATATTAAGTTAGTTGGTTAAAAGTTTTCTTACTCTCAAAAGATCGAGATCATATGGAAGTAAGCAGGTAGGGTACCCATAAATAATACACTACATGTAAAGTAGTTCCTATGGTCAAAAAACTGTTGCATAGATAGTCCTTCCTTTAGATAACACGTGACGCACATAAAACACATGCACACTATGAGAAAATGTGAAGCGTGAAACATAATAAAGAAGCTAATATTACAAAATAACCCTCATCTTCGTGATTAAAAGCATGAAAGAGTCTTCTTCCACCTCTTATAGCACATGATATTATCCTAGAAGATCATTATGGAAGACATGAAAAAGTTGCTTTGAGGATTGAATTAAAAGCTACTCCGTAGAAGACATTGTACTACGATTCAAGCTAACATAATTACAGTTCACAATAAAAACTCCGATCAATTTTTTTATTATTACATGCTTCACATTTTTTTTGCATAATTCGCGAGTGTTCTACGTTCTTCACGTTTCCCTTAAAGGAATGAGTAACTATGCAACGGTTCATTGACCATAGGGACTATTTCACAACTTTCCAAAGTTCAAGAACTATTTACCCACTTACGGTAGACCGCGAGGACTATTTATGCATATTACTCATATTGTTGTCTGCATTCATTTACATAAAAAGTACTCCGTATTTCTTTTATGGTTTTGCTCTTTCTATACATATTTAGGCAGGTCCGAGTAAACCCATAAGTCCATCACACTCCATTATGAATTATGATCAACTAAAGAAATCTAGGTTTTGCTGCAATTTTCAGCCTGTAAAAATCCAGATCAAGAAAAAATACAGAATCCGAATTAAGTAAGGTTAATACCTTGGTGGTGTAAACTTTGTCTCCCTTTTCGTTTATGTAAAAGTGGAGATACATTTTGCTTATTCGCAGCTTCTATGGCAACAAATGCAGGAAAAAAAACAAAATAAAAATATCAGATAAATGCAGGAAAAAAACAAGAAAAAAGATCTTTTTTCCCCAATTCATGCGGAGAAAGACGAAACCCGCTTGACAATTAAGTTATAATTGGGTTTTTCTTAAAATTTTCCACATGAACTTTGCAGATTTGATCAATCTTGATAAAACCCTAGGACTTTACCTCAGCTTCTCGGCAGCTTTCTCCAAATCGTCCGGCCAAAAATTGCAGAGACGAGTCGGGTAATTAGGGTTTATGGTGTTTAGAGCAATGGTGGTGTGACACGGGAGGCAAACTGAGTTGGGCCCATGTGGAACGTTATCTTTAAAGGAACGTGTAATGGAAAGATGGGCCTTTTAGCCCAATCATCTAGTAGGCCTCACATTCCCCAATAGTGGCCCATTTGGATGGGGGTGGGACTAGGGGTGGGCACGGATCGGGACGGTCCGGATTTTAGGTTGTCCCACGTCTTGTCCCATTATATATAAACGGTCCGGAACGGTTCAGATCACAATCTAATCCCGGTTTGTCCCATAAAATTCGGGATCGGAATAAAACGGGATGGATTCGGGTCGTCCTACTTTGTCCTAATCGCAAATATAAGAATGGGAAGAGGGTGACATTTCATTCAAAAAAGAAACATCTAGTCATCCAACAAAAAACAATGACTGGAACGGGTCCAAATAAATTTCAAGCTCATGAAGTTAATTTAATTAAATAACTAATTAATTAAAGAATGAGTGTATTTAGATTTTGGACTAGAATTAGTATTATATATTAGTAGAGTAGATGAAACGGGACAAACGGGACGGATCGGTATAAACTTAAGCCGTCCCGCTCATGTCCCATTCGATATTGGGACGGAACGGGTTCGGGACAAAAAAAATGTGTCCCAATATATCGGTACAATTACAAAATGGATCCGGGATTTTTCGGGAAGGTCCAACAGGAACGGATTTCACGCCCACCCCTAGGTGGGACGTTAACAAGCTCAAATAATATATTCATTCTAATATATTTTGGCCCATTTACAATTTAACTTTCTAACACATTTCCTAAAATTGTCCCATAAAAATCACGATTCTCAACTTAGACAATAGAAAACAGAAATAGATTTGGTTAGTATTTTCAAGGTCTCTATATTTATTTGAAAGTGTTTCACAAGTTTCTGAATTATTTTAAGTGCTTATAAGATCTTTATACTCCCTCCGTCCCAATTTATTTGCAACACTTCGAACGACGTGCAAAATATCATCTCTTTTAAAATCATTTTAATTTCAAATTGGGAGAGTAATAAAAAGTAAAAATTACACCATTTAAAAGTATATGAAAAGCTCTACAAAACAAGATGCGACAAGAATATTTTATTTTATCAAATGGTCAACCAAAACGAATAAACAAACAAAAGTTATCGAGAGGCCAGAATAGTAAACGTGCCATTCTTTCTGGGACGGAGGGAGTAATTTTTTTAAATGCTTCATAGATCTTTAAATTATTTTTAGTGTTTATCTGAACTTTATTCTTTTAAACTAGTGTGTTGTTGGTCCCTACAATTTTTTATATGTTTGGTTTCAGTTTTATGCGGTGAGTTTTTCTACTATTGTTCAATTGATTTCGGTTCGATTAACGATTTTGGTTTTCCAGATTCAGGTCTACTTATCGTATCTCCCCATCAAGTAAATATTTTATAAATATTTTTTTGAAATCATTTCGAGAATTTTTCTTTAAGTGATGAAAATACGAATTCATCCAAATTACTATCTCAGTCACTGAATATTTGTCTAACTTTAATTTTTTTCAGTAAATCATTTTCAACATTTGACCTATATTAAATAAAATATATATTGTATATTAATTAGATAAAGTAATATTTTGAAAAATATTTTATATAATAAATCTAATAAAATTATTTTTGTATCAATACTAATATAAGTTTTATTTAATTTGAGGTCAAAACTTGCTAATTTTACCCAGAAAAATAAAAAATAGACAAATACTGAGAGGCAAACAAGCCAAAATTGATTCGTTAATTTTCGTACGAAGTAAGAAACTAACCATAACTTACTTAAATTAAACTTTTTTTAGGACAAAAAATACGGGAAACATATTAGGATTTAGGAGATTATATTTAAATTTGGCAGCACTAGAAAAAATACGCAATTAAATTTGGCATGTGAGAAAATATGTAAAAGTCATACAGAAAATAGTGTCCAACCAAAAGCATTTAGACTTTCATAACATATGCAAATTGGCTAGTAGTTGCATGTCTTTTATTACTTTGCTGACTTTTATTCCATTTTCGAGTAATTTTCCGCATTACTCCGTATTTTCTTGTCATTATAATCACCATATACTCCAAAACACTTTGTACTCTTTAAAAGGTCACAATTCTAAGAAAAAATTACTCCCTCCATCCCGGAGTATTCGTTCACTTTTGATTTTTGGAACTGTTCATTTAAGCACTTTGACTCATCAAATTCTCTCTATGTGTAAGCCTAAATATAGTCATGTGTAATCTTGTTTGATTTGTCTTAACATATAGATTATTAATATATAATTTCTATAATTTTTTAATATACAAATTACAAGATAAAATGGATTAAAGAAGTGCATTGGATGGTGTGTAAAAATGAAAGTGGACAAATACTCTAGAACGGAAGTAGTAGTTTTTATATGCTAGATTCGAGCAAAAATAAACTTCGTTTGCAAAAACTTGAATTTTTGGTTGAATTTGTTCTTTTATCATAGAAAATGAAAAATCATTTGACCATGTGAATATTATTCTATTTTTTTAAGGTGCTTTTGTTTTTTAATACCCGGGAAAGGGTTGAATAATAGACACATTAATCCATTATCCATTACATTATCCGCATTAAGATATGGTTGCTGCCTGCTGGTATTCTGTCCAAAAAAAAGGGAAATTAAATTAAATTAAATATCACGCCATGTAATTATGTACTCCGTAAATGCTAAATAATTACTCCGTAAATAAATAAATAAATAAACAAAAGAAATACCCATAATAATTTGGTATGGCCAGAGAGAAGGGGAGGAGAAGCCATGAAAGACATGCTGGCAAAAGAAAGACAAACCAAAGAACACAACAAATCCTCGCGCGAAGAACAAGGATCTTCTTCAACCCTTCTGCCTACGTAAATCCCCTTTGTTCTTATTATGTTCTTCTTAATTTCTTCCCTGTCTGGCTCTTGTCGCATTTGCAACTCCATTTCTTATTTCCATTAAATTCTCTTCATTTCTTGAAACATGTTTATGTTCTTGCTGATCTCACGAGTTTTCTGCAAATGAACATCGCATATCTGCAAGATTCTTCGGCATGTTAGCTGGAATCATGTTCAATTTATGTTTCTACTTTTAAAAAAAATTGGGTTTTCAGATTATTCCCATATATCTTTGTTTCTTTTGATCAACAATTTCGAATCTTGGCTTTCTTTATCAAGAGAAAAATGATACCCTAAGATCGGATTTCATGTCTGCTTGCATATTCATAATGTAATGAGTTCATGGTTGTGGTAAAAATGGTGTCTTTGGTAGGTTTCAGGGAATTTTTTGTTGTTGGGGATGAGCAGAAAAAGGTTATAATGGTGGGGTCAGATCAAAATTGAGCCAGAACAGATATGGACACAACGAGAAGGAGTTGGTTGCAGAAGCTTCAACCGCGGAATTCTTCGAGCAAGGAGAGTGATTCGATGGGGGCAGGAACCGAAGAATCTAAGCAGTTATCTGCTGAAGAAGCTTCAAACATTACAAAGCAGAAGGTGGCTGCTGCAAAGCAATACATAGAGAATCATTACAAGGAGAAAATGAGAATTTTGCAGGAGAGGAAGGAGCGGTATGGGTTACATAAATACATACTACTCCATCCGCCCCAATTTGTAGTGTGTTTTCTTTATATATTGTGTCTTGTTCCATTTACAGAAAATACTACACTGTTCGTACCGTTTCTCTCGGCTTCGCTTAAATCCCAAAAGCACAATTTTCAATTAATTGATCATCGTGCCCACTCAGGTGGTTTGGGCACGTAAGGAGGAGAAGCTTCTAGAAGCTAGACTGACATGGTTTTGGTACATCGTGAGGAGATGTGAGAGACTAGCGGTATTGGGCGCGATAAGGGGTAGAGGAAGATTTAAGAGGAGTTGGAAGGAATTGATTGGGCACGACTTATGACTTTAGGATCTTACTGAGTACATGACCTTAGATATGACCATTTGAAGATCTAGGATTAGATTACGTGTGTGGACCTTTGGGCCTTAATTTTTAGTTTATGATAGTGCATTTTTTTTTCTTTTTTCTCTAGCAAGTAGCTTGTGCATGTCTACTTAATGTGTTTTAGGTCTTGTTGCTAGTATCGGTATGTATGCATCTTGTGCCTGTGCTCTTGCTTAGTTCGTGTTAATGTGTTTACTATCAAGTAGTCCCCAAACTCTACTTTCTTTTGGCCAAAGTTTGATACTTCTTGTTTGGGATGCAGTCGAAGCGTGCTTGAAAAGAAACTTGCTGATGCGGATGTTTCAGAAGAAGATCAGAATAATCTTCTAAAATATTTAGAGAAGAAGGAGACAGAATTTATGAGGCTCCGGAGGAACAAAATGGGAGCTGATGACTTTGAGCTACTAACTATGATTGGGAAGGGTGCTTTTGGGGAGGTAATTTTGATAATCATGTTATCTGTCTCATCTAATGTGTGTTTTCCCTTGCTCATATGGGTCATATCATACCTTATGTAGCTCAAAATTGTTTTTTGGATCCAAATTTCCAAACTTTAGTTTATCTGTGTTAATCTCAATGGTAATTGTTGATAGTCCCCATTAAACTCAATCTTTTTTGTATGTCGTTAGTATGATCAATCAAACTCAATCTTTCTATATAGACCATAAAACTCATCTTGAGAGGGGAATATATAGAATCTCATGGATTGGCTTCTTTCTTTTACAGGTAAGAATTTGCAAGGAAAGAACAACTGATCATGTGTATGCAATGAAGAAACTTAAGAAATCAGAAATGCTTCGCAGAGGACAGGTGCGTAATCATCTTCCTAAACCATGGTTTCAGAGTATGTATATTTACAAAGAACACACGCCATTAAAATATCTACACGGAGGATAATAAAGAAAAGGTCTAATCTTGAACTTGTTGGTTTTATCAGGTCGAACATGTCAAGGCCGAAAGGAATCTGCTTGCAGAGGTTGATAGTAATTGTATAGTCAAGCTGTATTGTTCCTTTCAAGATGAAGAGTACTTATACCTCATCATGGAATATTTGCCCGGTGGAGATATGATGACTCTACTTATGAGGAAAGATATTTTAACCGACGATGAGGCGAGATTTTATGTTGCAGAGACTGTTTTGGCCATTGAATCCATCCATAAACACAACTATATTCACAGGTCATCATTTTTGTGGCTAATTTGGTACATATTTTAGAACTTCTATTGTCATATATATACTTTGTGACACTGTATATTGTTTTCCACAGAGATATTAAACCGGATAACCTCCTACTGGATAGATATGGGCATCTGAGACTGTCAGATTTTGGGCTTTGTAAGCCATTAGATTGCAGTACTCTACAAGAGAAGGATTTCTCCATGGGAGATAATAGTGGTGAAGCTTCAAGGTCCGATGATCACTCTCAAGCTCCAAAACGCACTCAGCAGGAACAGTTACAGCATTGGCAAAAGAACAGGAGGACACTCGTATGCATTTCCTTATACTGATTTTAGTTTTTTATTATTATTTTTAATTAAAAGAAAGTCACTTCATTTGTTAATTTTTATCGTTCTTGAAATGACCGCTTCAGGCTTATTCCACTGTGGGTACACCAGACTATATTGCTCCAGAGGTTTTGCTGAAGAAAGGCTATGGGATGGAATGCGACTGGTTAGTATGTTGTACATTAGCCAGTCCTTTGTTTTGTCTTTTTTCCCTCTCTCCATATTTCAAGTGCTTCTGATAACACCACTTTAAGGCCATTGGTTCGTGATTAGTATACGAGATTATCAAAACATCAAATTCTATTTTGTTCTTGAGGATGTCTAAATATGAGCACAAAGACTTCAAGATCGGTCTTTTTTCAAGATTTTGTAACATAGATTGATCTTTCTTTACTCATAGGTGGTCTCTCGGAGCTATCATGTACGAAATGCTTGTGGGATATCCACCTTTTTATTCTGATGATCCCATGTCAACCTGTAGGAAGGTAATATATCTGTCAAGTTCACTATCACATGGTGAAGTTAAAAACCCATGCTTTGCATTCTCTTGATATTAAATAAAAAATGTGATCTTTTTCTGTTTTTGTGGTCAAACAAGTAGATAGTGAACTGGAGAGCACATCTGAAGTTTCCAGAAGAAGCGAAACTGTCCCCTGAAGCCAAAGACCTAATCAGCAAACTACTTTGTGATGTAACCAAGAGGCTTGGATCAAATGGTGCTGGCGAAATAAAGGTGTGTTTTTTTATGGTTTTGTATTGAGTTATGTGCGCGTTCTTGTGGATGATAGGTTTCATTTACTAAAAGTCTGCCTCTTTCTACACACCACCCTACATTTTGTGGGATTTTATTGGGTTTGTTGTTATTGTAATGCAGGCACATCCTTGGTTTCGTGGAGTCGATTGGAATAGAATATATCATATGGAAGCTGCTTTCATACCTGAAGTCACGGGCGAGCTCGACACACAGAACTTTGAAAAGTTTGAGGAGGTACTGTTTTTTCCCTTTCTTGCCCCTATAGGGAACATCTTCTCTACCCTTGGGGTAGAGTTATGGTTTGTTTGGTTTGGTTTCAATTTGGTTTCAAAGCGAACGCGCGCTCACATTTGATTAGTTGTATTGTGATGATTAGTAGTACTCTTTTCCCATTGTCATCCTCTTTTCCTAGTGTTCTTTTCCCGTGATCCAAACGATCCCTTTGTGTTTCGCCATTTTTATGTGATGCAGTCTGAAATCCAAGCTCACTCCTCATCAAGGTCTGGGCAATGGAGAAAGGTACCATACAGTGTTTGCATCATATTCAGATTATTTTAATGTTTCATCCCCAAACAGCACCTAAGAATCTGCCATAGCTTGCTGCCAAACGGGGCCTTATTTTCGATATATCTCACCCCCAAACCCACCAATGCAGATGTTGTCCTCTAAAGATGTTAACTTTGTGGGGTACACCTACAAGAATTTTGAGATAGTGAATGATTATCAAGTTCCTGGAATGGCAGAACTCAAGAAAACTTCCAAACCAAAGAGGCCAACCATCAAGTCACTCTTTGGTATGCATGCTTTAAACCCCCCACCCACCCACCCACACATGAATATATATGTTTTGGCCTTTTGGGTACCTTTTAAATTAGTATTTTCCATTAAAGATTTGTTCTTCCATGTGTACCCTTTTGGTTAGGACATGACTAAGTATCTCTTGATGTTTATTTTCCCATGTTTTTTTTGTGTGTACAGATGGAGAGTCAGAAACATCATCAGAAACTCACAGCCATCAGTCCTATGATAGTACTAGGAACCTGTCTTCTTCTCCTCGTTCTGAAGCCTCTGATAAGCACGGCGAGCTTGCCTGATCCGGCGGGCCCCAACAGCGATGGGGGTGGGTACTTATACTGGAGCGGGGTCGGGGTTAACGTAACTTTTCCAAAGCTTAGGAAAAGATTTGAGTGTCAGAGCGTCTTCAAATACCCCGACACAAACGTTTGGGGACAGAAAACGACACTTATTTGAAGAATCCGTGCAACACATGCAGCAGCAACTATTCACATTTGTTACCCTAATTTTGCCATCACTTTTTTTTCTCCTTTCAAGATTTTGTACATTTGTGTCCAAGAAAATAACACTGAGTTTGAAGTAAAGATCAGAAATATTGTTCATACCAATCATGTTAGTCATACATAATATTTTACCATAACTCTATTTTAGTTAAAGGATGCACTCTAACATATAGAACATGTTATATTTCTAATAAGGTATTTATCTCATTTCAAAATTCTTTTAGATGAGAAACAAAAATGACGCACATGTAAATTTCTTCCATTTTGTGATATTATTAGAAAGATGTGCATAATTTCTTAATTAAATGTTGGCATATAATAATACGGAGTATAATCTTATCTCGTGTTGGATCGAGAAGAAAGTATGATGTGTTTCCTATAAGTTTTTTCATAATAACAACTTTGTTTGGTTCAAATTTCTAAATACTCATATTATAGAGTTGAAAATTCTTTAAAAGAAGATTAAAAAATTGAGACAAAAATATACGAGAAGTTATTTTTAACGGAAGAGAGTCACCATACAATATACAATAATATACAAAAACATCCATTAAAGTTATTTTTTAATTCATTTTATTCCAAAATTGATAAAGAAATCAAAATAAAAATTTTATCTTTTTTTTGCACCAACAAAAATGTATTTTTAAAACTACACCAAAAATATACGTACTCCCTTTGTCCCAATTTAAGTTGTTTGCGTACGATCACATGGTCAAACTTTAACCATTTTCTTTATCAATTTTTAATTTGTTATTCCGTATTTATTTGATAAAATAAAATAGTCTTGTCACCTTTTATTTTATAGAATTTTAAGTAATTTTAAATATAAAAATTTTATGTTTTAATTACATACAAATTTTCAAATAAGAATGGAATTTAATTTCAGCCAAACTTTGTAAACAATATACATAGTATGAAAATAGAGATGACATGTTGAGAATATACAAAAAAAACTTAATAAAATTTAATCATATAAATGGTGAATTTATCTATAATTTTGAAACACAAGGAATGTGAAAGAATAAAAAATAAAAATATCTAACTAGAACTAACATATTTCAAATGTATACCAAATAAAACTTTCAATATTTTTATATAAAAATATGGCATTCTAATGTCAAATAATTCTAACACATAAAACCTAATAAATACTGTAAAATGAAATGATATGATGACAAACATTTTACATACCAATATTCTTACCTGAATTAGAATATACAAATACAAAATACTTTATTTTGATACGGAGTATAAACTATATTCAGTATATTTAGTCTTATTTGAGACTTTTTTTTGTTGGAAAAGTTAATTTTCAATTTTTATCTAATTAATTTTAGTTTTTTCCAATAATGACTTAAAAAATCTCTTACGTATGATGAATACTCCTTTCATTCCAAATTAATTCTCTATATTTTCTTTTTAGTGGTTCCAAATTAATTTTTCACTTTTCTTTTTTGCAAAGCTTTATGTGGCTTACTCTTTTTCTCCATCTTTTGCATCACTTTCAATCAGACGTAAAATTTTATTTTTCTTAAATTCCGTATAAAGCCAAATTCTAAGTATTAATTTGAGACAAAGGAAATACTCCGTATATAATACTCCGTAACATCATACCGAATATGCTCAAATTTATAACTATCATCCCAAACACAAAGAAAATAATTCCTCTTTTATTCAAAATTAATTCTGTTATATATATATTTCATTAATCATATTTAATTGAGTGATTCTTAATCCCTTTTTTTTCAAACAATTTCCAATTTTTTTTTCAATTTTTTCTTTTATTATATTCCCATTAATGGAGAAAGAAGGAATGATAGTAGGATCATGGTTCATCTCTCCTCGTCCTGGCCCTCCCCACCACCATCATTGTCGCCCCCGAAAACAGTTTCTTTTTCTTCTTTTTCCTTTTCTTTTCTCGTTTTCTGAAAATCGGCTTTTCCCCCTTTCGTCTCCCCTCAATCTTCGCTCTGTTGTCTGTTTCTTCTGACCCTTCCGAGGTTTTGTTTTTCTTGTTGTGTCTCGCAGTTTTCTGATTCATCTCTTTGATGAACCCAGATGCACAGTATATGTCTTTAATCTCTAGAATTCATCGCTCCGACCATTGACTAATTTTATCTGATCAATGTCGATCGTTGATGCGGCTAATTAGGGTTTCGTTCAGTGTAGATTCGGCTCGTTTTTCTCCTCGGGCGATGAAAATCTGTCGTACTTTAATGAATAAAATTCTGGGTTTTTGCGGATTTTTTTTTGTATAGTGTACCGACTACCGATGAAGTTCGATCTTTTCAGGTTTTGATTTTCCGTGTATGGGAGCACGATTCTTTTTCTTTCTTTCTTTCTTTCTTTCTTTTTTACACTAAATAAATCTTATTGAAAGTTTAGTTTCTTGGAATTGCCTTTTTGTGGTGTATAAATTGATAATAATTTGGTGTTGGCTAAATCGCCATGGATCATGTTATCGATGGAAAGTTTAAGATGGGGAGGAAGATCGGGAGTGGGTCTTTTGGGGAGCTCTTTTTAGGTATGCCCCCAAAATTTAGCATTTTTTTATTTGGTTTCTTCTGATTTGATTTATTATATTTGGAAATATTGTATTTTTTTCATTCATTCAGTTGACCTTTTCATTTCATATTATTAAATTAGTAATTGCCCTTTGATTGTTTGGCTGCTATAATGATTCCTGGGTTTCTTTGTGGTTAACTGACACAGGTTCCAATTTACAAACTGGTGAAGAAGTTGCCATCAAACTGGTATGCTTGTTTCTTTGTTCGTTTGCCAGAATTGAGTTGCAGAATGACATTAGATCGTTCAATTATTTCCCTGAGTTGATTTTGTATCATAGAAGTGCTATTGCCAGGAGTAACTCGTAGAATTTGTTGTTTTACTTTTGCAATTGCCAGGAATCGGTGAAGACGGGACACCCACAACTTCATTACGAATCTAGGATTTATATGCTTCTCCAAGGAGGAAGTAAGCTCTTATACTCTATTTTGCTGATCTTCTTTTCACCATTAAACGTTTGCAATGCTGTTTTCTTCTCTCTTGGTATCCTGGATGTGTAATTGCAACCAATACTGTTCATCTTGTTATTGTCATCTCATCAAGGAAGATCGCAACCATTTTTTTCTACATGTTAATGTATCTTGAAACAGTGTTTAGTTTGTGTGACTATGTTTAAAATATTCTTTCTGTTATGAAGCGGGTATTCCCAACCTTAAGTGGTACGGAGTTGAGCCCGAATACAATGTTATGGTCATTGATCTCCTTGGTCCAAGTCTGGAGGATCTCTTCAACTACTGCAACAGGAAGTTCTCTCTGAAAACCGTTTTAATGCTTGCGGATCAATTAGTAAGTGGTTACTATTCATTTAAAATGTGGTGCAAACTCTAGTGTCTTCTAGTTTGTGACTATGTTCAGTAGCTGATATGGTGATTGTCTATAATATCATTTTCTCAGCTTAATAGAGTGGAGTACATGCACGCCAGAGGTCTTCTACACCGTGATATAAAACCGGACAATTTCTTGATGGGCCTAGGTCGCAAAGCAAACCAGGTAGCCCTTCATCATTTGTTATCTGATTTAATTTAAGAAATGGACACATAATTGATTCTCAAAAGAGTCCTTCTTGAGGAACTTGTCCGCAAAAAAGAGCCGGTATTAAAGGCCAAGACTTATTATGGAAAATACCTGTAAAGCCAAGCTGCATGCAAGTTTAGTAAAAGGAACACTTGAACCTTTTGCAACCACATTTGGGGGGGGGTGTTTTTTACGGAGTATTTGTTATCTAAGAAGTATATGATGGCTTAATGACTCATATAATGTGGTGCATAATAGCATCGAGTGGAAAATGGAACCCATGTACACCGCTTCTATTAGCCGAGTTGTATGCTATAAATTTCTATGATCTTAACCTTAATAGAAAACAAATAATGTTGCAGGTCTATATCATTGATTATGGCCTTGCTAAAAAGTATAGGGATTTTCAGACTCATAAGCACATACCATACAGGTAGCAGCACTTCACTGGATTTTATTTTTAGATACTTCATCTTGAATTTGGTTTTATTGACGTATATGGGAGGTAAAAGAGAAATTGTCTCAGTATTCTTCTCCCATCCTCACATAAAAGATGTACAATCTGTCTTCTTCACAAGCTCTGAAATGGGGTTTTTCAATTTCTCTCCCTCAGGGAAAACAAGAATTTGACTGGCACAGCTCGTTATGCTAGTGTCAACACACACCTTGGTGTTGGTGAGTTACTTCATAATACTTCATACTCCGTATATCAATTTGTGTGTGTAAGTGTGTGTGGTTTCAAAATTACTTAGAAATTTACTGAGAAACTCTTCTTTATTTGCAATAGAACAAAGCAGAAGAGACGACTTGGAATCTCTGGGTTTTGTGCTTATGTACTTCCTCAGAGGAAGGTATGATCTCTTGATACTAATTCTAGTTTATATCAGCCCGGATTTGTATCAAATTAACATACTCCGTAATAAAATGTCTTTTTGGATACTTAATATGAATTTTTTTTTTTGCGGAACAGCCTTCCATGGCAGGGATTAAGAGCTGGTACCAAAAAACAGAAATATGATAAAATCAGCGAAAAGAAAATGCTTACACCAATAGAGGTAACCGAACAGATAAAATTGGAGCCTACTATTTTCTATTACTTGCTACAAGAAGATTTACCCATGATCGAATTCTGCACTTCAGGTGTTGTGCAAGTCATTTCCTACAGAGTTTGCGACGTATTTTAAGTATTGCCGATCATTACGTTTTGAATCCAAACCAGATTATTCTTATCTTAAGGGTCTTTTCAAAGACTTGTTTATCCGTGAAGGTAACTTGCGAAACTGGAATGCAAGTTGTTATAGCATTGGGTATGTGTTCATACTTCATATAGTCTCTCTGTTGCATATTAACCTTTTGGCTTTTGCAGGTTATCAATTTGACTTTGTTTTCGATTGGACAATTTTGAAGTATCCTCAGATTGGTGCAAGTTCAAGAGGCCGAGTACGGTGCTCCTGAAACTATTTTCCTACTGATGATTCCTGAGACTGTTTTCTTCTAGTCTACTTATTTTTTTGGTTACCTGATATCATCATTTTTGTATTTTTTTCTGTCAGATTTCTACTGGGGGTGCAATAGTAAATGCCCGGCCACCTGAAAAAATAGAAAGAAGATCTGGTATTTTTCTCTTAAAGCAAAAGAAAAAATGTTCACAAAATTATCTTTAGTAGGCATTTGTGATCGTTTCGACCTTTTTGATGCAGTGGGGCAAGATGCTCTACGCGCTGCTGAGGCAGTTGCAAGGAGAAATGCCTCAGCTTTTGGCCGCCACGTTGAACACTCAAGACAAAGATCGGAGGATGTGCCTTCCTCTAGAGATTTGGTAAAATTGCTGCTACTTTTTCTTTTCCCCTTTCTTTTTCTTAATAAGCATGCCAAGTCATAACGAGAAGAAGTTTTTTGTTAAAACTATATATATAAACGGAGAGGTTCCAATGCCACTGGACACCTCAGTCATCCTTTCAAAAAATTGATGGTTCCTTTTGGGTATTACATATTTTTTTGGAAAACCCATTTCTGTCCCCGGAAACGACCTTGCGAGCCTTATTTAAAGAATTGCCTACCCTTCATGTGGGATGTGGTGAAGTACATTAATGCTCTATCATCACTGTCTATCTGCAGCGAACAGCCTCGCGAAACGCCATCTCATCATCAAAAAGAGCCACAATTTCAAGCAGCAGACCCAACTCTTCTGAAGCAACAGCCGACGGCCGCCCGAGCAGAATAACCTCGACCGCCGGCCGCCTGTCCGCCGCCACTACTACCACCATGTACAGGCCTCAACAGGGGACTGAACCCAAGAAGCCATCGTCCTTGTCCCGGACCGTTAAGGGCGCCCGGGATGACCCTTTTAGGAGCTTCGAGTTCCTCGCCATCAGAAAGTGACAGACATGCAGATGAGAATGCAAAGGTATCATGTTGCTCCATGTATGACTGATGCTTTCCATCATCTGGTATCAGTTCTTTGAATAAAACTGTTTTTGGGTTTTTGTTGTTTTCTGGAGTTTATCGCCACGGCCGAGTGGCCGGAGTCTCTCAGCCAAGAAGGCGATGAGTGAAGTGCAAGGGGATATGATATAGTGGTAATTGTAATAAGTTACTCTTTAAAATGAATTTATTTTGCCCTTTTAGGGAATGTAAACTCTCTCCTTCTGTCTTAGAGTATTTTTTTTAAAGTCGAAATTGATAAGTTTTGATTATTAATTAAATAAAAACTAGAAGGGAATCTACTTTTACAATACAATAATTTTATAAAATTGTTTTGCACGCTAAATATAGTGAATATGATTGCTTCTTTGGTGGGCTTATATAATGAGTATGGTTGCCAAAAAATGCACCTCAAGGTAGTTTAGGTAGTACTTATTACTTTCATGTGTACATTTACAAACAAAAAGAAGAGGGGTGATAATCTTACACCAGTTTATAGGTGTAAGATTGTTATACCAATTCAATTAGAGCACATAAGGTGTTTCGATTGTAAAATTGATTCTTCTTATTCCCTTTAACCTACCAGGTAAATGTTCCATGCCTGGCCTGTCCTTTATCCACCTCCACACCCCTCTAATTGCACCATCCAAATTTTTGTTGATTTATGGTTTTTTTACTCTAAATTTGATTGGTACAATTGGAGGGGTGCNGGGGGGGGGGGTTAGGGGGCGTAAGAACAATCAATCTTACGATCGGAGATCCGTACCCAACAAGTACTCCAATTGAATTAGTGTGATAATGTTACACTAATTCAATTGGTGTAAGACTACCCCTCAAAAAATATTTGGATCTTACGTCCACAATAACCCTTAAGAATATTTTATAAAAATATTGTGTATTCTTTTTGCATGATAATTGTAATGAATATATTACGGAGTATATAAAAATATTTTTTTTGCAAATTGCTCATTACCCACAGTATTTGTTCCTTTTATGCAGAAAAATTTAGGGGAGATTCTTCCAACTTAAGTTGTTCATTATTGGCTATAATGTTTGATTAAAATCATTTATAATTTAATTTATTTAAAAATTGATGTGAATATACAATTTTATTAAATAGGTAAAAAAAAGACAGAAAAGTAGTAACATTTTGACCATGTAAATACTATTGGCATACTATTTGTTCCTTTCCAATTTACAATGTTCGACTTAAACCTTTTTTTAAATTAAATTTATCTACATATCGGTGTAGAATTCTAAAAAAAATTAGTTTTTGTTAACTACATCAAAAGTTTTACAATACAAGAGATGAAAAATGATAAATGAGAATAAGACAATAAAATAGATTTAGTTTGACCTTGAAATTAAGATGGAAGAATTAATATAACATGTTTAATTTGACTTTTTTTTGAATTACATTAAGTTAGAAAAGTATTTCTAATGTGCTAGAGTAAAGTAATAAGGTGCGAGCATCATGAGGTAAACTCCATAGAACCATATTATTCTTATTGCAGCATAAAATCTTTAAAAAAAAATCAAGAATCCTAATTTCAAAGACCCAAATGACAAGTCTTATTCCTATACTCCGTATATTAAGGAAAATGCTACTTTAACACTAGGAATGACACTGAGGTTAACACCACCAGAGACAAGATAATGACGATGAGAAATCATTGTCTGCGAAAGAGTAGCGGTGTCAATCTTGATGTCATCCGTTGTATGACGCATGTATCACACACAGTGAAAGTTTTGGGGCGGCAGGAGGGGAATGTACATAGACTTGTAGCAAAATGATGCTAAAAACAGAACGCATTGGATGACCTACGGATTTTTAAGGGCAGCCAATCTCTTCTCCAGTTCATCTATTCCCGACGAGCTGTCAACGAGAGAATGCGTTATCAAAATGAGAAAATTTAGGACCAATTCTTTCCTTGGCATGTACTCCTTTCATTTGTCCGTATTTAGTTGTTCACTTTCTTGTTTTTTTTCCATTTATCTGGAACTAAAAATGAGTTTTTTTTTTAAAGTGGACAATTAAATCCGGACAGAGGGGGCAATTATTAGAGAAAAGAGAATATTACCCACTGCTCTCCTCGGTCTTCTTCCCGGCAATTTTCCCTTTAGGAGCTGTTGATAACTGTTGAGCATACACATTAGGTGTAATCAATAAAAATCAGTTTTTATGGCGTAGAAATATTTTGGAAGTGATGTTAGGGTCGTGGAAATTTAAGATATACTACTCATCCGTGATTCAAAGAACTAATTCTAAATACCATTTAGGGCATGTTTGATTTGGATGCTTAGAATCATATTGATACAATCTTAACTGAAAACACCCTCAAAATACACAATAGAAGAAAAAGAATTATTGCAAATTGTAAAAACTCACCTGTGAAGCAATATCAACACCAATTTCATCAAGAACCTATGGAAGTCAAATTAAGTATTTTGTGAGAACATTGAGAAATAATAAGACCCTTGATGCATTGTTGCATCTACTACCCAAAATGTCATAGAAAGTAAGAACCAAAGAAAGTTTAATGTGTCATTTTAGTTTAGTCCATTATTTGCCAGAAGCTAAAATGTTGTCAATAATGACTCTTTGAGCTCCATTTGGGAAACAAATATGTACAAATGAATTCAATCAATTACTCATATTCACGCCAGAACCAGCGTTTTTTTTTATTTATAAATAAAGATACCTGATTTGTCAACTCCTCTGTCTCGTCTTCAGCTTCATCATTGTCCAAAGCATCATCTATGGCATCTGACATCATTTCAGTCTGCAAAAAAATATGAATCCATTTTTTCATATGTTTTAGTTTTGGAAAATTCTATTTGGCAGAGGAAGTATAGTTTCTTACAATCATGTCCATGTGAGCTGATTGTTTCTGGAAATCTTGAATCACTTTTGCCTGTTTTGCTGGAGCCATTTGCTGCAAATTTGATTTATAAGGACTAAGTCAAAAAAAAAACAATTAAAAATACAAACACGTGAGTATGGCACGTTTTGCACATTCAGAAGTGAGAAAAGGAAAAAGGGGTTATCTTAAACCGGTCGGTCATCTAACCTTATTCATGGCTGTCATGGCTTTAGCGGCACCTTTCATGCCTGCAGCAACTGAAGTTTGGGCATGCATTGCCTGTGTGTGAATCGATATGCCTCTCACCTGAGCTCGACTACCTTGCAGGCTAGCAATTTGTTGTCTTAGCCTGATTAGCTGGTGTGCTAGGATCTTAGTCGCTGCCTGAAAATGCAGAAATTAAAGATCAAATTAAAGTTTCAACTTTCAGTTGTAGTTTTTGGATTTCAAATGTGAAAACATCCCTACCGTGTTTTGGAATGATATGAGTTTAAACAAAGGGTAGAATTCGATTGAATTCTTAAAAGAAAGTTTGATAGTTTGGTATTCATCTGGAATTAGATTTCTTCTACTTTCATTTTATACTTGGAGTACACAAAGTAGCACAGGCAAAGTACACACAGTGGCATGAATGTGAAAAGAAACAAATGACAGATAAAGCACATGTTTAACATCTCCATACAGAGCATGCAGTCAAAAATCAAAACTACACACCTCATTTCCAGTTTTAGCTGTTCTCTTGATCTCAGCAACAAGCTTCTTCTCCTGTCTCACCAGTAACCAAATCATATTCTCTAAGACTATAACATCTAATAATGATCTTTGAGCATAGAAAAAAGAGAGCCATTTACTTCACTTTTACTGAACTCAAAAACTAGGCAAGGACATTTAGATACTTTTCTTTTCACTCTTATTATCCGTGCCATTTTCACACGAAAAAATCACTTTTGGACGGAGGGAATATGAATTAAATGAATAATACCTCCAACTGCAAAGCAGAAATTTCCTTCTCTAGTCCTGCATCATAGTCATAGACCACCACTCATTAGGCATCAGTAAAAGGAAGCTGTGACTAAGCAAAAACACATCAACACGATAAGCAAGACATATCTGTCGGTGTTTTGCAGCATTAGAAGCATTACCGCATAGAAAAAAAACATATGAGTTTATAACACTATGAATGAAACTAACTAATCAATCACAACATGGTTGATGGTTTGTTAGGGTTGTAGAGTCCACGTAGTAGCTATGGCAACGAAGGACGACCATGCGTATTCACTGGGGACAGAACTCACTCCTTTTTTACCATACTAATAATAGCTCTTCTCCCCGGTAACTGTTCGACCGGTCATTGGGAAAACTAGGGATGGGTTTCACCCTTTTTAAAGATGTCTTTGGGTTTATCTCAGAAATAGATTCTATACTCCATGGATTAGAGCCTTAGAGGGAAGTTCAGCACACATCTTGCCACCCAGACGCTACACCTCTCGAGTTGGGACATACCCGGTTTCTTTAGTTTGGTTAAAATTTACGCAAAACTATGGGTGTGTTAATGGTCCTAAATATCTCCATAGTCATTGCAATAGCTAACATAACCATAACCTCCCAATGAGTTTGTTGCAGACTAAATTTTGATGTGTGGCTCTTTGTTCTAAACATGATCAGATAAAAAAAGATTTGCACTTTTGTTGATGAACAGAACAATTACACTTATAATTACTCATTCCAACTGTTCTTAACAAAGGGGATTACAAAAGCACAAACCTCTAGTGGCATTGGTCATTTCTCTTCTACTGTCTCGAAGCACCTCTGCATTGCAATAAACATTATGTTAAATTGTTAGTAAAAAAACACAATCTTGATTACATCGAAATTGAATTTCAGAACGGAAACAGACAACAAATTTGACAGTGATCAATCCCGACAAATTCATAAAATACTTCAAATTTCAAACCACCAAAATAGGATGTGAGATTGGATTCATTGATCCCATGTTCTGAAACGAATCAATAGTGGAGGGGGCACAGAAGCGAACAAGTTCTTCACTGAAACCCCAAAATTGAATACAGACGCAGCAAGATGAAGAAGATTTGACCTTTGGCCGTGGGTTTCTTGGAGAACAAATTCATACTCGATGCGGAAAACGAAGATACCCTTCACGGAAATCGAATTCAAAAGCTTCGGCTTTTCTATACTGTATGCGTTTCTTGGTTATCGAAGGCACACTGGTTCTCTGTGGATTTGATAATGGTGATCAAGTGACGAAGACGAAGAGAAGGAAGTCTAAACTAACGAGTAAAAAAGATTTATACGGAGTAATTTTTATTATTTAAAAGTAGAAAAATTTTATTTATTTGTGTAATTGTCCATTTTGATAGATTATTTAATAAAATAAAATATTCTTATTATTTTTCATTTTATAGAACATTTGATGTAATTTTTAAATATAGAGAGTATAAGTTTTGTGTTTAATTTTTATATCAACCTTTAAATAAAACAATTTAAAGAAACTTAAAACTTCATTTAGTTTTACTTGAAGTCTAGAAATTTTGGGATAGACGGAGTATAAAAATACTCAAATAAGGGGGTGTTTGGGAGTGATTAACTTGTGGATAAAGTGATTTCTACAAAAGCTAAAAGCAAAAGCACCTCATACCTGCTTCTCCGAAACGGTGTTCTATATACAAAATAGTGGTGGTGAAAAGCAGAAGCTGACATGCCAAACAGAGTAAAATCACTTCCACTCAAAGCAGATGCTAATTTATTAAAAGCAGCGCACTGCCAAACACCCTCTAAAAGTTTTAAGTCTTTAAAAATCAAAATAAAAGTTCACAATCCCTCACTGCAACTGCCACACAACTGCAACTACCACGCCACACCATCTGTCGTCGTGGGCCACCAGAGTACCGCAGGCGATCACCAACAATTTACTACTTACACTGTCATCACTTTTATATCTCACTGCCAATGCGTACTCTGTCATTATTATCCTATTTTAGTATTGCTATACTTTTTTAATCGTATACTAGAAGATTTCTTTTTATTCAAATTATGTTTAAATGCGTGCACTTACATTGTAGTGTCCCTATATTCCTATTTTGGTCTTGAAAATATAGAACTCATATTTTGATATTTTCATATATTTTCACTTTTATCCAGAGAGATTTCTTTTTATTTAAATTATATTTAAAATATGATCATATTTTTAACAATATAGCTTTTACTTTTCTTAATTTTCATGTCAAATAAACGATGAAACCTTGTCTGGAATGAAGGGACGGAGTACAAAGAAAATATTTTGATCAAAAAGATAATGTTAAATTCATTTAGCACCAAGAAAATATTAGAAGTAATTCTGATGTCTGAACTAGTAATATTTTTTTTGTTCTACAAAAAGGTTTCATACTTCAAGTTTTGGTATTTTGTTTGTCTTGGCCAAAATATTACATATGCGATCTATATTATTTCTCTCTCTCTCTTTGGAATTATTTTCAATTATATAACTTTAATTTTTTAAAAATCTTTGTACCGAGTCAAACATAGAAAATTTTTGCATGGGGAGGAAATATGTGGAAGAAAGAGTTTTTTAAAATACAGTACAATTTATGAACAATTACATTATCACTGTATACAAACTTAAAAATAATTATCGTCTATAGATGCATAAATTATATACTCATCTATGATTTTCCTCCATTTGAGAAATGGGTTCTTACTTCTTACCATGATCCTATCTATAATAGGAATGTTTGAGAATAACATTAGAGATTAACGTTAGCATTTTGAAAATGTTATCTACAGGCAGCATTTAGCGCTAACGTTTTTGAAGTAATCTGCACCATTAAAATTTCATACAAAATGCTGATGCTAATCTCTAACGCTATTCTCAAACAGACCCAACGTCAAATGGTGGGATTTTGACAAATTTACCATAGTCATTTGCTCAGAAAAAAAGTTGACAATTTGGGGGTAAAAACTCTGCCGTGATTGGCTCAAGTATCTCTCTCTTCCTCTGTGGCAATCTGTTACAGAGTCCAATTCCTCCATTCTTCCATTTCCATCTTACTTTCCAGCTCCAGGTATTTACCCATCCATCTCCATTGTTATCTGCTTCCCCTTCCAATCTTTATCAAATACTGCTATGCATTAAGGCATTGAAGTCATCATTCATAATTTGTTTAGATCTATGCTTAAAATTTCAACCCTGAAACACGGTACCCTACAGATCTTCCATAAGCCCTATATTTTCGAAGATGTGTATTAAACCATGCTCTCCAGATCTCATGTCTCCGTCTCACATATGTATTTGCCTTGATATTAGCATGAATTTATAGTGTTTTTTTCCTATCAATCTTGCGATTCTATACCTTTTTTTAACAGAATGATTCAGCTGTGTTTTTGTGGGTTTTAAGAATTCAGCTTAGTCAGCTTTATTATATTAAGAGTTCCTATTAAGTAGTGATGTCTTTTTAAAAGAGAGATTTTTGTTTAGAGCTTAGAAGAGAGAATGTGAGCCACATGTTCCTTATACTAGGATGTGTGAACTTTATTTTGAGATGCCCAAAAATAAAGTGTGTAGTTTATTTGTGGTACAAATGGAGTAGTATGTATTTACATTGAATTTATTCTAAAATTATGTCTTTGTTTTGTGATGTCTGTCTACATACCCACCTAAAAAATTGGGCAAATTCTTACGTGGTCCTTAGGCCCATGTTTATTTTATGGGCCTTAGTGTGTTGATATTATAAAAGATTCGGGCCTTTTGTAAATAAGAAAATATTCACTTGCCGGCCCATAAAAAGTTTGAGAAGGTTCACATTTTTCATGTGGACCTTAGGACCACGAAAGAACAACTCACCTAATTGACCCAGATCAAGATTTTTATTTAATTTTGAATTTTGGGTGCTTTGTGCAGTTAAGGTTTGAGGATGGAAGGCACTCAAGGCAATGAAGGCACAATATTCACCCCTGCTTTAGAAAAAATGAAACACATAAAATCGGAGAATGGAGAAATGCTTACCGAACCATTCTTAGAAGTTTGCAAGCTGATCTTGCCTGTTATCGGTATCAACTTATAGATCTTTCTTGACACTGTCAACATTATTGATTTGAGTTTTTTGCCATACAATTTCACTCAAAGAAAATGTAATGGAAGACACGAAGCGCGAATCCGTTTCACTAAGATACAAATATACCCAACCTTACCCTTGTAAGAAAATAGATAAGCTGACCCTTGATGCATTGCTGAATTGACTACCCAAAACTTCATCGAAAGTAAGAAACAAAGGAATTTGAATGTGCAAGCTACACTATGACCAATAATGACTCTTTTAGCTCCATTGGCAATAAACTACCTTGTTAGAAATGCCCGACATAATTTGTCAAATAGCCTTCATAGTTGTTCGTTTAGATATGAGCTAGTTCTCGTTTTGCAAAAAAACTTGGCATCGATAGATATAGTTAGGATTAGATGGATCTTCCTTAAATGTGTGTGGAACTAGAGCTATTTTTGTTTTTTTGTTGGGTAATGATTGTTTTCCACCACTTTTAATTTATGCAAATGCCAGACAAGTTTGGTTCATCCATGGCAATTGTGAAATCTGATATTGGTGGAAATATAAAGGTTTGTTCTATTTTCTATGAGTAGTTGTTAAACTCTTCATTCCTTCATCTATTACTCCGTACGTATTTTCCTGTCCGAACTTCTGCCACCTATGGTTATCCTATTTTCAGAGGCTGGAGGATAATTTCAAAAAAGATCCTAAGAAGTATGTGGCTTTACATAGCATTGTAAAAGAAGAAGTTGAGGCAAAGACAGCAAAGGGTTCATCAAGTTGCACTAATGGCCTTCTTTGGTTAACCAGGTCTCACAGATTTGCAGTAGTTTTCCACTTTCTATTAGCGTCTTTTATGGATCCATACTGGTTTTGATGATTCTAGAATCTTTTAAGAACAGTGCATTATAACTTCTTCAGGGCAATGGATTTCTTAGTGAAACTGTTCCGGAATTTATTAGATCATGCCGATTGGACTATGACAAAAGCTTGCCAAAATTCATATTCCGAAACACTGAAAAAATTTCATGGCTGGCTTGCTAGCTCTGCTTTTACGGTATTAACAGATTTAACCCCCTCCCATATGGTAGTTTCCATTTACGGTCTGTTTGGAAAGATGAAAAAATGGTTTCTCGAAAATGAGTATTGAGAAATGATCTGGTGTTTGGCTGAAAGTTTGGAAAATTAAAAAAAAAATGTGGCGAGCTTCGACCTAAGGAGTTGGGAAAGAGTGAAAAATGTCTTCTTCCGAAAAAACAGAAATTCTTTTCCTACGAATGAGGCTCATTTTCTGTTGACTTTGGAAATCATTATTTGTTGACTCCTATTTTCTTGAACAAGTAAACACTTAAAAATGAAAAAAATGATCCCCGGAAATAATTTCCCCCCCCCCCTTCCCATTTCCCAAATGGACCTTAATGCCTAACTAATTTTCTGAAATGTTTTTTTTCCAGGTTGCAATGAATCTTGCTCCCGAGAGGAACAAATTTATGGAAGTCATTGGTGGGACTGCTGCTGTTAATAATATCGACATCGAGAACTTCTGCAAAACATTTTCACCCTTCCTCGAAGAGAACCACACATTTTTGGTAATATTTCTCACCTTTTCTTCGACAAATCTTACTAAAGTTTCAGAGATTAAGGCAGGAGCACTCACTAGACGACTTAGATTTTTCAACTGAAAACAAGAATTATATACTCAAACGCAAAAAAATATATAAAAAACAACAAAAATCTATTAACTCATCATTTGTTCACCAAAAGCTGGTTAGCGAATTACCAACGGATTAGTAACCCAAACAATTTGTCTATTTTGCTCAGGTAGAGGCTAACGTAACTAGGTACTTAATAAGCTTATTATAAGTTTGTTTTGTCAACCACAACTTCCTTAAGTGAAGAAAATCAAGGGTCTATTTGATGAGCACAATAGATATGGGTTCTGATATTTCGTGAATCATAAGCATGGTTTGGATTTGATATCGGAACACATACCATATCAACCCAACTTCGTCCATCAAACAGGCCCCGCCAAATGGTTATATACTTATGCCATCTCTTTCCTACTTGCAGAAGAGTGTTGAAATGAATGAACTTAAAGCCTGAAAGAGAGAGGGAGAGAGATGCTTATTATTTTACCAGTAATAGCACACAGGTCTACAAAGAGCCATTAATGCACACTGATGGATCAAAGCAGAGTCTGCCTCTTTTTTTCACCCTCTTTATGTTCTTACTTCTTTTTTTTGTTTGCATTATGTTCTTGTTACTAATATATACACAGTTTCTCAAAATATACACAGTACTCCGTATAAAATACTCCTTTCCAAAATTAAGTTGTGTGTTTATTATTCACAGTGTCAAAGTTTATTCACTGTTTTTTTATATTTTCGTTAATCATTTGATAAAAGAATATAATGATGTCATCTCTTGTTGCATAGAGCTTATGATGTGTATTTTTTAATTCCGATCTAATTCTTAAACAAATTGTATTGAAAATAGTTCCAGTCAAACATCGTAAACTTTAATAGGTGATTTAAATTTGGACTTGTGGTGTAATGAATCATGTAATAGTACTCCACAATTGTACCAACTTTGCCCACACTTTTTCTCTTCCCATAGACAAAGATACAAGGGCGGGTGTGTCTCTATGACGGCTCGCTCGCCCTGTCTTGGCGTGTCTCAATATCAATTACACTCGTACGATTTTTTCTTTCTTAACTTATGTCTCCGACACAAATTGTAAAAATAGGACATGTGGAATCGTATTTTTAATTAACGTTAATTGAAAGAAAAAAAATTTGAGATAAATAATTCAATGTGTTCGATTAAACAAAAATAGTCTTATACTACACCTTATAAACTAAGGTAATCACAAGGCTATGATGTTAATGTTTTGTTAGAAATTCCCGACGTGACGCAATTTACTTTTTTCATTGATCATGCCAGTGAAAATAAACTACAAGTAATATATTGTTAAGAAAAAAATCAGCCAATTTTTAGTGCAAAAAAAATCAATTTCGAATAAAAAAAATCATCTTTGTGGTATTTGAGAGTTTCTATATTATAAATGATCACTCAAATAAATATGTAAGAAAACTAATCTTGAATATAAAAAAAGAATTGATTTCGTCCGCGTTTGAGGTGCTATGTTATAAATTTGGATTTATAATGTTATTATATAGTCATCATATGTAAATACATTTTTATAAAGTCATCATTGGTAGAAGCTCTAAGAAGTTAGAAGTAACTAGAAGGAATTCAAAGAAATTGGAAGAAGTTGCATAAAGTTAGAAGTTAATTTTTTCAACCGAAAAGAACAGAGCTTAATTGACGTTCATGGTTGCATTAGTTCGTGTGACTTTACGTTGTTGTAGTGCAACATAATCTCCATGTTTCTCTTCGTTACACAACCATTCCTTACATAGTTCCATGGCCTACATAACACTTCACCTGTCTTATAAAAAGAGTCCAATTTTTGAATGTACAGTTTTTTTTTTAATTTTTTAATAAGGTACTATGTAGTCAGTTCGTACAAATCTAGCGTATTTAAATTGTTTGGACATTTTATTATTATTAAAAAAATCAAATAATGTATGATAAAAATAATATTTTATGGGTCCCATAAAAAGACTTGAGAAAGGGGAGTATTTATGGGAGGGAGTGAGTAATACATTTATCATCTTTTTATTATAGTGATTATATTATGTACTACACATCTTATTCACCTCCTAAAAATTCTATCTACTTCTGGTTGAGATGAATGGGCATGAAGAGCCAAGAATACTTAGCCATTGAATTTAACAAACACAATGGCATTAACATCATTTTGGTTTCCATAGATTCAGAAGATGAGTCAAACCTATCTTTGGGAGGGATGGTTTGGGTCCAAATCTCTTTTTATTCTTCAATAACAATCCAATCTTTCATTCTTCTAGAGAAGTGCTTTCAGATTCCTTCATATCATCAAAGATTTGGTAATTATTATTATCATTTTTTTTTGTTTTTTATAGATTTCTTCATCTCTTTTTCAACAATAAAAAAATTGTTGATTTTCTTTTAATTTGTGATGTGCCAGATAAAAAAGAAGGATAAACAGAGTAAGGTTTGAAGATACTGGCAGGAACATCACCCTCCCTAATCATAACAAGTAATAAAAAGAAGGAATTTAAAGAAAGAGTAAAAATTACAGAGGGCAAAGAAGTCATTCTCATCAATTAAGGTGTGGAGGATGACCACAAAGATGAAGGGCCTTCTTAAAGGTCTTAGGTATATATCTCAGATATTTGGTGAGTTATTTCACACCCTTCAACAATGACATTTTTTTTGTCCAATAATGTTTATGTGTGTATTTTGTTGAAGTTATCTCACATGAACTAAATATGTATCTTAATGATGCAAAACCCTCGGTTTTTTTTACATAAAGGGTCATGCTACCGTCACAACACGAATGAAATCGTTAAGGCACAATAAGAACGACACCAAGATTGACATCGGCTAGTGTCTTATCGACAATGATTGTCTCACAAACAATGAGTCTCTGATTGTTAACCTTGGTGTCGTTGGTGTCATTCATGGGATTAAAGAAGCATTTTCCGTTTTCGTTTTGAAAATAAAAGCAAGGGTATTAGATGAATGAGAGTTTTTATGGATGTATGAATGGTGCAGATGAAGAGAAAGAAGCAGAAATACAGATTGGTTTGCCTACAGATGTAAAGCATGTTGCCCATATAGGATGGGAGGGTGGTCAATCTGTTGATAATCCAAGCTGGGTAAATTTTTTCCCTAATAAATTAATCATTTTTATTATCTAACAAAACCAGGAAAGTAAAAATATATATATATATATATATATATATATATATATATATATATTTGACATGAAAGTTGAAACAATGTGTTTGTATGATCATCACAGATGAAAGAATTCAAAGGAGCAGCAGGGGCTCAGTCAGCTCCTTTAGGCCCATCTGCTGTGCCAAGGGAGAGCCCAGAGATCAAATGGGTTTCTCAAGGTATTGTATCATGCCTTTCTTCTTCTTCTTCTTCTTTGGCATGCATTTCCCTCTCCTTGTAAAAGCCCATTTGGAAGATTAAATTTCAATAGAGGGAAACTCAGGGGGTGTTTGTCTTGTGCTGGTCCTAATTGGTTTATTGCTGAGAAGCAGTTTTTAACTTACAAACTGCCTATAAGTTCAATATTTTTTCGGGAAAGTAAAATGACTTAAATGATATAGATATGTCATTTGGGAATATTCATAAATGGTGAGGGTTAGTTTGTAAATAATCTGGTCAAAACGAAGAAATGGAAAAACTAGCTTAAAAATAAGTAGATAAGACTTTTTTAAACTTATAAGCAGCTTATAAGTCATCTTAAAAGCACAAACAAACACGTCATCAACTAATTTATAAGTTAAAAACAGCTAATAAAAAATTTTACCTATCTTGTAAGCGTGGTGAAGCACACCCTTATTTAGCTCATATGAAGGTTCATAATGAACCTTAATAGAAGAATTTTTTCGTTTTTTACTTTTAATAAAGTACAGCTTATAGAAATAATCAAATACACGGAGTAACAACATTTTAAAATTATTTTTGCTGGTTTAACTAACGAAATCTACACATAAATAAATTACATATTAGTACAAAAAGCTAATCAGACTTGTCATACATAAAACTTTAAATATTAGTAGGTATTATTTTATTACTACGTATATTAATATGCAATCTAGTTAAATGGTGATTAAAATCCGTTTTGACTATAAAAAAAAACTAAAATCAACTAATAGTAGAGCATAAATTTGGTTTTGAATTTGATTTTGTTTGTGTTCATACATAAAATGGAGTGCAGATTCAAACAGAAGAAGTTCGAGAGGTGAAGTGAACCTAGACAAGGATCCGGATTTGCCCAAGTCATCAAGACGCCAAGCACCTTCTTCCTCCTCCGAAAACCCCGATTCCCCGAGCAAATCCAAGGCCAGGCATTCCCGGCGAAACCGGTCCAAGGAAACCGCCGCCGACGCCGTCAAGTCCGATTGCCCGACTGGCGGAGACGTCCCGAAGAAGTCGCGGAGGAAGAAGTCCAAGGACGGAATTGGCGACGGCGGATCCACCAGATCCGCGACGAGATCGTCCAGGCGGAGCGCCGCTCAGGAGCTAGCGCAGCCGGCCGACGTCGAGGCCTCGGTGAGATCGATTTGCAGCGACGCCGCCGGCGACGGTTCCACCAGATCTTCCAGACGCGGCGAAATCGAATGAGCGCCGCCGCGCCTGAGAAATTGGGAGCTTCCGGTTGCCCTTCATCGATGGAAAGAGAGGGAAACTTTAAAAAAGTACTGCCGCGTTTGGTAACTAGTGAGGTTTTATTTAATTTTATTTCTTTGCAATGGAAATTACGGAGTATTAACCTTGGACTCCCCCCCCCCCCATATTTGTTCATGCTTGTATTTTTCTTTTTACATTTTTACCGTAGTAATTACTAGTGAATTTACTGGATTGTACAAAATTTGACCCCAGATTTTACCCGGACTCATTCATAGAAATCTTGTACAATGCCGGAGTTTTTATGTTACGGAGTATTAGTTATTACATTAGATATGCTTTATTTATTGTACAATAGAGATGTGTTCATCTACAAGACAAAAATACTAATTTCTTCATCCATTTTTTTTCATATATTTAAAACATGTATATTATGAAATTGATCTATACAAATTTAAAAGGAGAAATGTTTTTGGAGGAAAGAAATTGATCATTTCGTTGCTCAGTTTGATGTTGAATGAAATCTTAAAAATGAAATTATAAAAAAGAGTGCACATTTACGGAGTATATATTTATACCCTCTCCATCTCGATTAATCATCACACTTTTTTTTAGTTCCTCCCAAAATAATTACTACCTCCGTCCTGGAAAATTTGTCCAATTTTGACTTTTTCAATCACTATTTTTGGCTTTGGGGTGTGATGGAATAAATCAAAATGGATCTCTAAACTATCTGCGCTTCTTTAATTAATGAAGTAGCAGTTAGTCAAACAATGCAACTTTCGACGTTGAGCCGGGGGTCTCTTTGGAAACAGCCTCTCTACTTTCGAGTAGGGGCAAGGTCTGCGTACACACACCCTCCCCAGACCCTACTCTTGTGGGATTTAACTGGGTTGTTGTTGTTGTTGTTGTTTTGACTTTTTCAATCAATCGTTTTCAACAATTAATTTATAATTAAATAAAAATGAATATTGTATATTAATTAGATAAAATACCTAGTGCACACTCATTTCACGGTACACATAACAAGAAATATGATTTGTTATCGAATCTGCAATGTGCACATTTCCGGATAACTATTTGTGTGCTCTTACAAGCACAGAATGGAGTTAACTAAAACAAGTTTTCCCAACATACCCAAGCCAGAAGAGTTGGGATCACAATTTGAATGCTGCAAAATCAATGTCGTCTTCTTCGCCCGCCTCCTCCATCTACTACTACTACTACTACCGTGACTAGCAAAATTTCTCTTTTTCATTTACAAAAGTCTGTCGTCATATCTATCGGGAGGCATCATCGCATAATGGAGAGGGTGTTGGTGACTTGGTGCCGTTTATTATCATACATAACGCAGCAACAGGTCTGCAGAAGTGTTCCTCAATCTACAGCTTTGTCCCAGGTGAACATCCCCAAATATATACCTGAATCATTATAATAATAATAATAATAATAATAATAATAATACTAATAATAATAATAATAAAATTTCAAATGGCGCCAGCAACTTCTTTGTCGATTTTTCCATTTCTTTCTTTTTCAATAGATACAAATGGAGTATATAAATAAAAATCTGTGCATATCATCATTACCGGTATTCACAATGCTCTGCCCATGCACATCGAGCCTTCCCGTAATCCCAATAGCAATCGTCATCTCTCAGAGGGCCACGCTTTTCTGTTTTTGAGCATAATAACATTATACCGAGTAATGTTTAGTACTCCCTCCCTCCCTCCCTCAAAGAACTTCACACTTTCCTAGTTCGGATGTCCTAACAAAAACTTCACACTGCTCTAGTTTTTCATAAAAGGTTAGGAATACGTGATCCTCAAAATTTCTTCCTTGGCTTTTCTTAAACTTCATAAAGTCAAACACTAGAGTTCTTTTCGGGATGGAGGGAGTATTAACAACTCCATCAGGTCATGTTTGGGAGTCCAGAGGTGATTTTTTTTCTTCATTTTAAGAAACAGAGCCTTAACTTGTGATGTTGGAGTTGTTGTGCCTAATTATGTCCAAGTCGTTTATTCAATACTCCCTATTCTCTAGAGCCTCCTCACAACTTCAAAGCATAACATAAGTACCTAACCTGAGATTAAGTGGAAAAGAGATTATATCACACCTTTTGTGACAAACTCTGACTTCTTATCAGGATGAATATCATGCCACATCTCGAGCCACAACTCCCGCATCAAAACCGGGGATCTAACAATATTTCTGTGATTCGCTGCACAAAAGAGTAACGTCATTGGAGGGCAGAAAAGACCTTGTTCATAGATTTATATTGGTGTGTCATACTTCATCAGTTCATCGATCAAGGTTCTTTCTGGCACTTGAACCAAGTGAGAACAAACTAGTCAAAGACCCAGAAATTTTCACAAGTAGAAAAACTAGACAAAAACATCACGACGAAAAGACTAACATTTAGTTGGCTATGAGTACATGCCTTATCAAGAACCAGAAAGGGTTATAATAGTAAAGCAAAAAGGAAAGAGCTTGCGTTTTTACTCCCTCCTTTGACAATTTAACTTTACACTCCTTTTTGTCCATCCCAAAATGAACTTTACCCTTTACCTTTTTCCTTTATAGAAAAGAATGATGTGTCTCTCTTCTAAACACATTTCAACCATAATATTTCTTTCTTCTAAATAAATTTGAACCATACACTTCATTTTTCATCACTTTTTTTTAAATACCACGAAGTCAAAGCGTCAATATAGTTGTGGGTAGAGGGAGTATAAGGCTAAATTACTTGTACCTTTATCAATCTCCCAGACTGCCGTCCTCCTCCCAGGAAGGCTTTCAGAATCTTCATAATAAGTTATGTACTTCACCCTAGGTGACCTAGTCATGTTGGGAATGATATCTACACCGTGTTGATGGTCTACGTTCAGATGGATTTGTACATCTGACCCATCATGCTCTGACTAAATTAAAAAGAGAGACATGGAGACAACAGAGGAGAGTTATAGCCACCAAAATATCTTTGGCTTTAATGAATAATCAAGACAAAGGTCACAGTAAAAGGAGTAAGAGATACAGTTTGACACAGCAGATTTCAGCTCAGTGACACAGCCATTCTTGGGATTAAGGTGATTATGATGATTTACGCAAATGGCATTACCACTTGCAAGTGGAAACAATTTAAAAAAGAAGATTTTAATTCTAACACAAATTAGTTTAGAGACTGGTGGAACAGGTGGGCTACGACCGTTCTTGGTATTGAAGGATCATGCAAGACTACCTGAGGAGCTCTTGTAATGTTCACTTTTGGACCCAACCAATTTTTGCACCAAGAGAGTGAATGATATGGTACCTACAAGTGTTCCTCTTAATGACAGTAATGCCAGGTACAAAAAAGTGTGAGAAAAACAAGATTGTTGGATGCTTTTAATCTTACCGTCTCATCACCACTTGTTGCACCAGGGTTCCCTTCAACAAGATTACCCGACCTTTAAAATACGGAGAAAACGCTATAGCGAGGTTTTAAGCAATGTCCATAAGCAATAAGTTAATCATTATATTGTATAGCATTTTTCAAAATACCATTCAACTAAAGAAAGCCTAATCATATACTTCATTTTAGTGTACTTTCATAGTTTCATTGTATATACATCCCCGTTTTATTCGGATGAAAATGATAAAGGCTTCAAAGCCTGATTACTAAACGAAGAGACTTGTAAATGTGTTACTGTGTGCATTTACTGTTTCCAAAAGTCCAGGCAGTGCAGCAGATAATATCATTTGGATTGAACCATAGCACCAACATTTCAACTCCAATTATGAAGAGTTTGACAAAAATGCTCAAATAATCTTCCAATATATAGAAACTCTATAGCATATTAAGGATAATCATTAAATTGTCAATTAATGATATGATAGTTACCTGGAATATAGAGAGCCCTCAGCCTCGTAAATCACATCTGTTATGATCCAATTATCAGGATAAGGCTTCCCACTTGGAGCAAGGTAATAACCAACCTGTGTTCCCAGGGAAGATAAATATATAGGGTAATGAATGTGTCAGAAATTCTACAAACATACCCATAAAGGAGAGTAACTACTACTAGCAAGAAATGAAGCTCGCATTCACTCTGAAAATATACGATAATTAGAAGCCCAGAAATTGTACTTTTAGTTCAGTCACAACTTAAACTGAAGCATAAAATACATGATTGTTCACTTTTACCCCTTAAGAATATTACAGACCAGAAGGTTTATAAGTGGTATGAATTACATGCTTAACTGTATGGTGTGCTGACTTGCTGCTAAATAAATCAAGATGGTATGGGAGCCCGTATGAAACACCATAGGGTATGGTTTATTCCATTCAGAGCATAAAACTATAAACATTCAGAACGAATTTAAAATTTATTGAACAGACATGCCATTAGTCCCGTTACTTATTGTCATCTAGAACAGAAGAAATACCTCAGTTTTCAAATCAATTCCATAAATGCAGAATATGTTCTTGAGAGGTGGTCTTTCCCATGGAGTTAAAGGATTTAGGACTGGGTCGCCATGATATGAGCTGAAAATGCATGTAGAATGGAAAAAAGCCAAGAAATTAATCCTGTTCTTTAAGAAAAAAGACAGATAATATTGAACACAAAATCTGCAACTCTAGACAGAACTTGAACCAGTTTTAGAAGGTTGTTAATTGAATGTTAGATTATCAAGTCCTAAAAAGGTTGTAAGAAATAACTAACACTCCATTTGTTCAAAAATTATCTTACCACATGCCGTTTTTTCTTGTCCCGGAAGCATCTTCCCATAACCTTTTTAGGACATTTTAAACTAGTGAAAAAACACTTTCACACACTCAACTACCAAATATAAATTCTTCCACATCTAATAAAAAATACGGAGTACCATGTTTTCAATAAAGGATACTTTTCAACATACCCACAAAGTGATGCCTTTTTCGTGTGGGAAGTTCATTTTGAGATGGAGGAAGTATAGATTTATCACTCGTTAACTAGAATCCCAATAAAGTATAGGTAGTCTACAACCAAATCCATGTCCAAGAATCATGGAAGCACAATTCTATATAGAAGACTTTTTTCCCATAAAAAGAAGCTTCTAAACATCCCGAGTTTCATAAGATAAACCAGACTAAATTTCATCTACCTTAAAAGAAAAATGGAGAAATCACGGGAAAACTCACTTTTCTAGCATGTGTAAGAGCCTTTGGCTATCGGGATCATAATCTGCTATTGCTTGGAATAAAGTCCCATCTGACACTTCACGAGCAGAAAATGATAATTGAGTTGGCAAGCCACATTCCATGCCAGACGAATCTGACTCTGCAATTTCCACGAAGGATGGATAAGCCTCATCTCCTGCCAGGAGACATAAGGAATTAGGACATGTTAGAAGAGTCCAACATCAACACATTCTGCATGTGCAGTAAAAAAATGGTACCTTTATTTGGGCGAATTTCAATATTGATTATATTTGTTGGCCACCCGGAGTAGTTTGCTTGATATTCATGCTCATCACAATGGAATGCATGATTACCTTTTCTGCTTCTGCCAGAAAAATGCAATGAGTATACATTATCTGTTTTACAGTATTTTGAAAATGGCAGCATCCACAATGAAGAGCCAAATGAATTGGACATCAATCGAGCTGTTCCCTGATATAATAAATCAGTTAATGAAGGCAGTAAATACAATGGACTGACACACGCTTGCATAGAGGTTCATAGAGACCCAAATAGAATGAACCTTCAATTCTCAAAGAAATCAAGCATCAAGAGAGACTGAGAGACTTTTGACAGACATGATTAGTAAACTGAAAGTAATGTTATGTCCTAACAGCCTTCAAACTTTTCAGCCTTTCCGAATGGAATGAAAATGAGAACTTAAGAGTAGGAATATGTTCTTTTTAAAGTCTTTGAACAGTTTCAGAAAGTTCCAAGGCACCAAATAATAGTTAGTGCAAGTAAATACATGACTAAAGCTACGTCTTTGAACCTCCGAGATAGGAAGACCAAATGTGACTCCAGACAATGCTGCTTTGACAGATTCAGTCGCGCCCAGAAGAGGAGATCCTGAAACCAAGCAGATATGTATATCTAAGCTAAGTTGCAACTTTATCCTATAAACTTGTGTCTCAATTACAAATGTAATTTATAGCAACATAAGGCTAACGTCATACCGACAGCAAAATAGGCGTGAATATGTTCATCTAGCCAATGCTGATACATTTTAGGGGCAATTTCTAGTTTCAGCCACTCCAAGAAGTATCTGAAAACATTGTTTCCTAATGAATGAGCAAAAACTAGTGAGGGTCCACCACGGTGTTTGCGAGCAGTTTCAAAAGTTAGCCTACAATAAAGACACGACAATAAATCATCCTATAAATCATCCTATGAACTTTCATATGAATTAAACATCAACTAAAGGTTTTTAGCGCTAGCATAAACAAATGTTTCATGATATGAAAAAAACTGCAACTGAATATAAAAGTCTTTCTCACAATTAGAAAAGTCTCTTTGGGATTAACAACATTCACTCAGTTTACCCATGGGTAGATAGCAAATATGTGCTACTTTAAGAACGAACATACAGTTTATAAATTTTATGCATGAGTAAACTTGAGTACTTGACACATCAAATAATGTGGCAAAAGAGCAATTGGTCAGGAAAGTTCCGTGAAGTATGTGTTATTAACTCGTTTTCACCTTGTTTACGAGATATATGGAATATGGAAGCAACCTATGATGATGATGGATTTAGAATTTTGATCTCATAATTCCTTCTTATGGAGGTTGCAACCTGAATGGCATCCGGCATAAAACATTGTGATTATAAGCTTTAATTTTTGCATACACTTATAGCTTTACTTAATTTTGTACAATTCATTAGCACTATATATTTAATGCCACCGACCTTAACTAGCTGGGATTAAGAGCTTAATCTCTTCGTTGTTATGATCAAATCTAATATGATTTTATTGAGGCCTGGTTATATTTAAAGCTATTTTTGATATCTGATTTCAATAACAATAATTAATAAGTAATAAGAATGAGTTGAAGAGAAAACGCTCTAAAGTGCTCATAATGATTATGATAAAGATGGTTGGGATAGTCGTGAAGAAATATGAAGTTATGAACACAATGATCTTTTGAATACGAGTAATAAAAATATTCACTTTTCCAGTTAGCAAACACACTCCATACCATCTCAACAATAAAAATCATATCTCTAGTTTTCAATACTGAGAGCAACATACTTAACTTCATCCAAGTTATGTTATTTGCACATTGAATGGTGAATATGAAATCAAGAAGTATGAAGAAAGACACAAAATAGTCATAGGCAATGACTATCTCAAAGAGGATACAAACTTTAGTTTGTGAAAGTAAAGGTCTCTCTCCTCGAGTTTTGAAGGTTGCAATCTCCAGTCATATGGAACTGCAATGATTGCATTAGCTTCAACGCCAAATTCAATGCACCACTTCACCCACTCTTTCCACACTGATGAAAGGGGGCCTAAAGAAGAACGGAATTCAAATTTAATAAGAAACCATACAAAGGAGAACCGAATAGTTTATAGACGCTTAACAACCCATTCTAGAGATGATCTGTTGCTTCAGTTTCTCCATTGTACTGATATTTAAATGCTACTGAGTAGTTTATAACAAGAAAGTAAAAGGTAAAATGCACAGTGACATATACTCCGTATCTCTTTGTATGTGTGTGAGTGACCTCATGCTTTGCAAAATCTAGTAACCGAGTACGTTCCAGTGTATATTTAAATTATTGCATGCTTTTTCACCAAACATGGATAGGAACAAGAAAAAACATGAAAAGCTACCTGTTATATAGCCGGGATCAAGCTCGGATATAGCAGAGAGGCCACTATCGGGACGAGACTTGCACTCGGGGTGATCTGTTTGATTGTAAGGGTCTAATATCATGCATTTAAGCCAGCAATTCACAGCAGATAGAAGCTGAAAAGAGCAATAATCAGTTGTCAAACTTCTTAATCAATAAATGAGGCCCAAATCAATACCTTACAGATAGAAACTCTTAAGCAAATGATCTCACAAATATATTAGAATAACATCATCAGTGTTTCAGAGCTATAATTCCTAAAACATGATATGAATCATTATTCATCAAACATATTTTCAGTTCACCAAACTTGAGATAAGAGCAAACAAACGAGACAGAAAGGAGAAATGTCAGTAACTAAATCTGGAAGATAATCGGAACACTTGCAGCGAGAGCAATTAGGAAATGCGGATTACTTTGGTGGAGTCGAGCCAGACCAAATCGAGAGGGTTGAAATCGAGAGGCGAGTAAGGGCAGTCCAGTATTGACCAGGCTCTGAGCTGAGTTGACGCGAAGCCGGGGATGATGATCCCGGATAACTTTCGCGAGTCTCCGGTGAACTCGTCACCGCCGTTGACGGCCGATAAGACGAGGAAGAGAATGACCAGTCCGGCGAGTTCTCCTCTCATTGCGGAAATAGAAGTCAGTTTTTTTTCAGACGCCGCTAGTGCGCTTATAGCGCGGTCGTTGACGTGGAGTCCGGCCGCCAGGGCGTCAGGTAGGTGTCAGGTGTGCCGAACAAACGACCTTGTTTGGAGGCAAGCGAAGAAAAAGGGCAAAAATGGAATTAAACTATTTATACTAGTCATGTACTAACATTTTGGGTTAGTGACATTTTGCGTTATTGGTGATGATTTATAATGACACCAAAATATTAGTATAAATTTTTTTGTTAAACTTATATTTTGTGCTATTGCAAACTGTTAAAATATTAGTGTAGTTATTTAGCATATAATTTAGGTACATTTCTTGGTGTATCTTAGAATGGTTGAAAAAAATGAAATTAAAGATGTAGCTAATCCTATTTACACCAATAATCCTTTAGATTAACAAAACATTGATTTTAGCATTTTTTTAAAAATTTTATTTTTATATGCATCTAATATTCCTTACGAGAAATACAATAATCGTTTTTGTACATTTGTGAATATATGTATCCTCATTATAATTATACAAATTGAGCATTACAAAATACTCTCTTCCTTTGAAAAAAAATCTATCAATTGATCTGACACAAGATTTAAGAAAAACGAAATTATATGGTTGAAAGTGAAGCAAAAAAAAAAGAAAGATGATGAACCCCAAAAATTGCTAGAAATGGAAAGATGAATCTTTTTTAGGACGTATGAAAAAGAAAATGAAGAATCTTTTTTAGGACATACTCCTAGTCCTAAAAATCTATCTCATCTTCATTCTTTTTTCCTCATACTACAAGAGCCAATCATTTTCGAGTTGTCGCAAGGAGTCATCGTTGTAGAGGAGTAGTTGTTGATCAAACCGCCGTCCAGGGAGTTGCCGTAGAGGAGGCTTCATCGTAGCTATCGTCGCCTGGAGTCAGGTTACTAGTGCACAGAAGTCACTGTTATCGCTTTGTGTTAGGTCCCTGCCGCTTCTTTTTCTTCATCGCAGCTGGGGTGTCTGCTGTTCTTACTCTTTAGTGCCATCACACACAACTAAAAAAAGAGCCAGATGTATTAAGTGATTCACTCTTTTTTCTTTTATATGATTCTCAATTGTACTCCCTTCATCCCACAATAATTTACACTCTTCACTATTCAAAAATCACGAAAATATTTGTTTATTTTTTATTTTCTTCAATAATTTAATAAAATATAATATTCTTATTTTTTTGCAGAACTTTTGATTCACTTTTTAAATACGCAAGTTTTATTTTTTATTTCTATACCCATCTTTAATTGAAAATCTTAAAATTTTATTTCATTTTGCATAAAATATACTCATAATTTATTCAGGACAAAAGGAGTATAATATTACATTTTTTTAATAGTAAATTTCATAATTGGTCCTTTATAATAGGGGGGTTTCCATATTTAGTACTCTATTATAGAATATTACCCCCGTAGTCTTTTTTAAGGGTACCTTTCCATAAATGGTCTTTTTTTATCTTCTGTCGTGTTAGTGTTAAATTAAAAGCTAAAAGTATAATTTGACATCAACATTATGTCTAGTGACATGTTCTGATATTGGTTAAGCGGATAACACAAAAATAATGATTATGATTGTGGGCTAGGATTTTGACGTAAGACCACATGTGTAGACTATGGTTGTAGTAGAAAGCGGTTGTAATTCACAAACGACGCAAACGGAACAGCATTTGGAATTGTGTATGACAAAAAAATATATTATCATTGTAAAATTAGACTTTTAGTCCTCAAATTAACACCAACAATCCAACATGATAGAAGATAAAAAAAGGACTATTTGTGGAAAGATACCCATAAAAAAAGGACCACTAGGGTAATATCTGATAATAGAGGACTAAATAGAAAACCCCCCTATTATAAAGGACCAGTTATAGAATTTATTCTTTTTTTAAACTTGCACTATGTTTGGTTCAAGTAATTTGAAAAAAAACAAAAGAAAATGATATTCTATTACTTTCTTCACCAAAATATAAGAAATTTCGTTTTTCTTCTTAGTATATTTTACCTTCTTATTTTCTTTTCCTTCTAATTATTTTTCCTCTCTAGCCAAACAAAAAAAATATTTTTTCTTGTTTTTTTTCTTTTCTCTCTCAAATTCTTTGAATTAGATAAAAGAGAAGAAAAAGCCATGTCAAAGCCGCCGGCTCTATGCATGTGTACTTGATACAATGATACGACTCGGTCAATAGCTATTTTAGGACTAGATTTTTTTCCTAAAAGGAAAATAAGATGTAAATATTGTACTACCTTCCTTATAGTGTGTTTGTCTAATTTAACCATTTCAAGTTAAATAGGATAAACTTTAAGATTCAATTATTCTCAATTTATAAAGCATATTAATACAATGATGCAAAATTTTGACAGTTCACAACAAGATAAATTTAAGAAAATCATTATTATACTAAGATACATTACAAATTCAGTTTAACTGAAGCTCAAAATTCATCATGTTTGACCTGAAAAAGTCTTGACAAATACATTAGGACAAAGAGAGTATTTTAGAAAAAGACCATATAAATTTCACAATTTTGTGTCACTCACCAACTTGGCCACTTGACAAAAAAAAGTCTTAAACTTTGATATAGTACGAAGAAATTAAACGCGTTGAATTGAATGAAGTCAACTGTCAAAGAACCAGATTTTATATCTATCTTTGTTCATGGCTAACTAATTGCCAACTTTCTAGGAGGGCATAATTCTTCTTTGATCCTCAAAGAGAAAAAAAAACCCATGAAAATATCCTATGGGAATTACGTGGCATTCTTCTTCCTCATGAGTTTCTTTGCACTGGAAACAGCAGCAGCATCAGCAAGAACAGAAGCTGAAGCTCTTGTCAAATGGAAGAACACTCTCTTCATCTCTTCCTCTTCTTCATCTTCATCTTCATCGCTCAGTTCGTGGTCGCTTCCCGGCCTGAAAAACCTCTGCAAATGGTCTGGGATTGTCTGCAACAACAGGACAACTGTTTCCCAGATCAACCTTGCCAATGGAGGCCTCTCTGGCACTCTCGACCACCTCAATTTCACCTCTTTTGCTTCCCTCGCGCATTTCAACATCTCCGGGAACAACTTCACAGGTTCAGTCCCTCCCACCATTGGAGACGCGCGGAGCTTGGTTTCAGTGGACTTGAGCAGCAACATGTTTGGCGGAACCATACCGCCCCAAATTGGGAACTTGACAGAGCTTCAACACCTCACACTTTTCAACAACAATATCGCCGGTGCAGTTCCTTATCAGATTGGAAATCTTCAGAAGGTATAATTCAAGAAAAGTTAAAACTTGGACTACATTACCTCAAGAGCCAGCATCTTGTATGGCACCTTAAGTCATCCAATATCTGCAGAATATAAATATGAAAATTTGAACTAATATATAAGTAATTGAACTGCTAATAATATTCAGCTGCAATTGATGTTTACGTTCATTGTTACCTAAAGTAAGAGTATATAAACATTTCGTGGGCCTACAGTTACATGCTTGAATTTTTAGTTAAGTTGTTATATTAAAGATCTAGAGGTCATGAGTTCAAATATCACCGCCACCGAGGTTTAAACTGAAATGTTCACTTGTAATGCTAAAGCTTTTAATTGAGTTGGTTCTTTAACAATTTCTTAAATTTGAACAGGTAGGGTTCTTGGACTTGGGATCAAATTTCTTGGAGGCTCCAGATTGGTCTTACTTTAAGAGCTTTCCTGTACTGGGACATCTAAGTTTCAATCTCAATGAATTAAGGTCGGAGTTTCCTAGTTTCATACTAGGTTGCAGAAACCTGAGTTTTCTTGATCTGTCGATAAACCATTTGAATGGATCAATCCCGGAGTCATTGTTCTCCAGTTTGGGGGAGAATCTTGAGCATCTTGATCTTTCCAACAACAAATTTTCGGGCCATTTATCGTCTAACATTGGCAGACTATCCAAGCTGAAAAATCTGAACTTGTTGAACAATTCTTTTCAAGGAGAGATACCATCCACTATAGGCCAACTCAAAGCTCTTCAAGTTTTGGACATTCGCATGAACCGTCTGGATTCAAAAATTCCTTCCGAGCTTGGTCTTTGTCCCAATCTCACTTACTTGGCCTTGGCAGCAAATTCGCTCTCGGGAGTCTTGCCTTCATCCTTGTCAGCTTTGACGAAGTTGACTGAGTTAGGGCTTTCAGATAACTTGCTTTCTGGTGAGATTTTCCCCTATTTTATCTCCAATTGGACGATGCTGACATCTTTACAGCTTCAGAACAATTCATTCAATGGTAGCATTCCGTCAGAAATTGGTTTGCTCGCAAATCTTCAATACCTTTTGTTGTATAATAATCAATTCTCGGACAGCATTCCACCACAGATAGGAGACTTGCATGATTTGACGTATTTAGACCTGTCTCAAAATCGTCTCTCAAGTTCAATACCCAAGACAATTGGAAACCTCACAAGCCTCACTTTCCTAAGCCTTTCCACTAACAAACTCACTGGAATACTTCCCTATGAGATTGGGAAATTGATATTAATCACTACTCTTGATGTGAGTGATAATGCATTGAGTGGAGAATTGCCTGAGAGCATTTCTGGCCTCAGTAAGTTACAGGTTCTTTCTCTGTTCTCTAATCGCTTCACAGGCCGTGTTCCACGGGACTTGGGCATAAATAGTCCCTTCTTGTCCAATGTTAGTTTTGCAAATAACAGCTTCTCTGGGGGACTACCACTTGGATTGTGTAGGGGTTTTGCTCTTCAAGAACTGACAGTGAATTGGAACCACTTCAGTGGACAGCTCCCTACTTGCTTGAAGAAATGCTCAAAACTAGCTAGAATAAGGCTGGAAGGAAATGACTTCTCTGGGAACATTTCACAAGCATTTGGAGACCACCCAATTCTAGAATTCCTTTCTCTGAATAACAACCAGTTTAGTGGCAAAATCTCATCTCACTGGGGAGAATACAAGAAGCTCACTAATCTCGGAATGTCGGGGAATAGGATTTCTGGTTTCATCCCTCCAGAATTAGGGAAGCTCACTCAAATTCATGTCCTCACCCTAGATGCGAATGAATTGACTGGTGAGATTCCCTCAGAGCTAGGGAATCTACGTCAACTACTAACTCTCAACCTAAGCAATAATCATTTGACTGGGAAGTTTCTTGAGAATCTTGGAAACTTGACTAGCCTTCGGAATCTTGATCTCTCGAATAACGAACTGAATGGAGAAGTAACAGAAAGGATTGGGAATTTTGAGAGCCTATTGAGTTTGAATCTTAAAAACAACAATTTATCAGGTGAAATTCCACCTCAACTCGGGAACATACCAGGATTGAGTATCCTTTTGGACTTCAGTAATAATTCTCTTTCTGGTACAATTCCATCAAACTTGGGAAAGCTCATCTTACTCGAGATTCTGAACCTGTCACACAACCACCTCTCTGGAAGAATCCCTCCAGCTTTAACTGGTATGGTCAGTTTGCAAATAATGGACTTTTCATACAACACACTATCCGGTCCAATTCCAACAGAGGGGACATTTCGTGGTGTAAAAGCTCAAGCCTTTATTGGAAATTCAGGTCTATGCGGTAATGTAGATGAATTTACCCCATGCAACCAAGTTGCTGGAAAGAGGTCTAGACGAAATAAAAAGAAAGTGATTATTGCTATTCTTGTTCCTGGACTTCTAATTTTCTCATTGGCAATGGGATTTCTTATTCTTCTTTTTCAAAAAAAGAGAAAGGAGAAACATGATGGAGAAATGAGAATGCGAATTCGAATGGGCAAGAAGAAGTATAAGGCTTCTCAATCTCTGATATTGGGGAAAGAAGTGAAATTCACATTTGCGGATATCGTGAAAGCCACTGAAGGTTTCAGCGAGAAACACTGCATTGGAAGAGGAGGAATTGGGATAGTGTACAAAGCACACATTTCCACAGGACAAATCGTCGCTATTAAAAAAATCAACGCGTCAGACAGTAACGACACTCTATTGACAAATCAGCATAGTTTCGAGAATGAAATTAGAGCATTGACAGATGTAAGACACAGAAATATAATTAAACTCTTTGGTTTTTGTTCCAAAGATAGTTGTATGTACCTGGTTTATGAGTACATAGAAAACGGAAGCTTGGGGAAATTTTTGAACGATGATGGATTGGCACAACAACTCACATGGGGGATTAGAGTGAGGATTGTTCAAGGAATAGCTCATGCACTTTCTTACCTGCACCACGACTGCTCTCCCCCCATTGTGCATCGTGATGTGTCAGCAAATAACATATTGCTTGAGACAGAATTTGAGCCAAAGCTAGCCGACTTTGGCACATCAAAACTGTTGAGTGCTGATTCATCCAACTGGACTTCCGTTGTAGGCTCTTATGGCTATATGGCTCCAGGTACGCTTTAGAACCAATTCCAATCATGTGATGTAACAACCTAAAAGTGGAAAATTGAATGTGAATGAGCAAAACTTGGGACGGCTTTATAGGTGTAAGAGCAAACATGGAAATTTTTCTAAGCTTTGGCATCTGGCTTTCATTTCTCTACTTCTAGTGCATCATGTATGAATATGGACTTCTTGCCAACTATTGTGTCAGGAAGAACCAAAACTTACAAGAAATAAATAGTCGTATATGCACAAGTAGAAAAAAAATGAAGGTCGAATACCAAACATGGGAATGACTGAATGACCCAATAGAGGTGAGACCAAATGTGGAAAATTTTCAAGTTGCATAACATGAACATATTTGATGTGTAGAGCTGGCGTACACAATGAGGGTGACAGAGAAATCTGATGTTTACAGCTTCGGAGTGGTGGCATTGGAAGTTATGATGGGGAGGCATCCCGGGGAGTTGCTATCTTCACTATCAGAGGCTACTGAGTTGTCCAAAGAAACACTTTTGAAGGAGTTGCTTGACCAAAGACTCTCAACTCCCAGTGGGCATCTTGTAGAGGAAGTTATGGCTGTGGTCATCTTAGCATTGGTGTGCACACTTCGCATGCCCGAGACACGGCCCACCATGCGCTTTGTTGCACAAGAACTTTCTGCAAAATCTCAGTCATTATAATTCTATAACTATGGGCAGACAAACAAGTTCTCAAAAATAGGAGTTTAGTTTGGACTATAACACCTGCAAAATTGAGTGCAAATAATTTGTCCCATTGTATGGCACTATTAAGTAGCATGTCAAGAAATGGACACATTTTGAAGGAAATTTCCACGTGTATCCTTGAAAAAAATTTCAATGTTGTGCAGTGTGCTGTTATCCATATATTGATTAAATTCTTTGGAGAAATGAGTCTCAAATTCCTTTCCTACTCAGCGCACAGACATCCTTTCTCAAAAACAAAAAGAAAAACTACATGAGCCAGAAGTTGATAGTGCATGTTACCCTCTGTCAACCCTGAACTTGTCTCTAACACAAATGCCCTTTGAAACAGTTTGCCCTTTTCTGAATACTAGGAAGGGGTAACTCAACCTGCAGGTCCTCTCCCCCCACCGCTCCATACTTATCGTAGCATATTCAAGGTTTGAAACACTACCTTTAAAGATCTTCAACTACAGTGAATCCAAGATGCATGCATGATAAAAAAAAAGTGTGCTCCACGAGCAATTCATCAGGATCCATTAAAAACCGCAATAATACTCCTTGCATCCCTTTTTTATCTTCATTCTTTTATTTTTGGTTTGTCCCAATTCCCGAAATTATCTTATTTACCCTTGTGGTTGATGTTGTTTCCTTCTCTTTGAACAAACCTCACTACCTCAGACAAAGTTTCCACTGAATGTCAAATTAGATATAAAAAGGGAATGTGGGAGTTAAAAGCTTCTACAATTAGAGGTTTATTTTAATATGTTGACAGTGCCTATTTGGTTCCAATGCACTTACCCGTAGCTATGGAACTTGAAAATTTGTGGAGATGTGAAGCAACACAACATTAATTGGAACCACAAATATGATATATATAAAGGCACCAGACTCTGTCTACTGCATCACCTGAAGGGCAATTTTTATCAAGCAGAGAGTTCATTAGATTGTGTATGTGTGGCGGTGTGTGTATGAAGATACAGCAAAAAAGCAAGCAGCACAATAAAACTAACATTTTATATGCTCCTTAGCATCATTGGCACAGCTACAAGAGCTGCAGCAAATGTATATCATGAGAGGTGAGAACAGCCACAATCAAGTCAATAATAATAATAATAACAACAACAAGAATACTGTTTTTATTATTCTTATTGTAAGCAAATGTAAGAAAATCTATAAGAACCTATTCACTGATGAGCCTCCTCTCAAGTGACTCTCTAGTTCTCTTAAATATGATCTAAACAGCTGAGACCTGCATGCCAGTGCTCCAAAAGTTGTTTACTGGGTTATTGTATAAATGAATAGGTTTGAATGTATGAAAAAAAACTGCAATACCAAGATGGAATTGAAAATGCTGCTAGTATAGGGGACAATTTCCACAATATAGGTAGCCTACTGCTTAGCCAGCTCTCCAGAAACCTTATAACACTTCTATCCTAGTTTGGAAGATGAAAGGAAATGAAGATCATAATAGTATTCCTCCAAAGAAAGTTGCAGTAAAAAAAAGTCTTGAAAAAATTCAAGATGTTAACTTTTGAAATGGCATTCAACCTTTAAAACACCAATGAAGATAGAGACATTGTAGTGCAAAGATTTCTTCAAGAAAGGATCTAATTTTATAATGTAACTTTGAATAATCTAGAATGAGAGGTTAAAAAACTTAGAAGAGTACCTTTGAACTCATCATGCTATCATTGCAACAGATATTTTTACAACCTCCAGCCACTAAGTTAAACACCTCTTTGCATAGTTTTGATAAAATAACAGGTGCATAAGGGGTCGACATAAAATGTTCGATCAAAATTTCCCATTTTCTTGCAGCACATCCAAGTAACAAAAGTTCCTGTTGGAAAATGCCCTCAGCATATCAAGAAATGTTCTCTTTCCCAAAAAAACACTCGTTTTCAAACATTTTTTACCCAAAAATGTGTCCTGTTTGATTGATGGAAACTAAATTTTCATGTAATCATACGTATCTTACAGAAGAAGTGTAATAATTGAAAAAATTAAAAATATTTGTACTATTCATGATTTATAGAAGTTGTACATTACTAAATTTAGAAGTCGTACCTTAGTCAAACATAACTCTTTTTTGAGAATGTGTGTTTGAATTTCCAACCAGAAGATTAGATTATACAGTTAAGTCATACAAAAACCTTGCTTAATATTGAACAAAAACAAACATAAGATCCACAAAAGGTTTGAAAGAGTTACCACTGCTTCAGAGAAATTAGATCCATCATCAGCTGAAATTGATAGCCTCCCCAGCAATTGAGCACATTGGTCCTCGGGGGCTGAAAGGATAAGATTGGCACCTGCTAACAGCCTAATAGTTCTCTTGTCAAGAAAATAGGAGAGGTTTCTAGATCTTAGTTGATTCCAGGTAAGAGGATCAACTGGAATTTCGTCAGACCTAGGTCAAAATTGAAAAGTGATTATATGCATACCAGGAGGGGGGGGGGCTACTTGATTATCAAAAACTCTAATTTAACGACAACTAATGCAGATAATACAGTCCATACAGCTTTAATAGTTCTAACACATCTCCCTCAATACAGAAATATTTACACACCAACTATGTGCTAATTATATATAGTTTTCTCACCAGGAAAAGATAAAGGGACTCCTAAATTTACATAAACTATCAAGTAATACACATACAAATAGATTACTTACAATGAAGATCCAATGTCTGCCACACCATCAATTAAGTTCTTGCCAGGCTCACTTATATTCAATTGGCATACACTTTTGAATAAAATATCCAAACACGCTTCTGCTGCAGAAAGTGATGACACTGCCAAATGTCTCCTTTCAATTTCACGTGCAGCGATGAAAGAGAAGCTGCAGGCAGCATTATTAGTTTCTGTAGTTGCTGAGGCCTCTATGAAATGTGAGTGCGAACTGAAAGCAGATTCTGTTGGCTCATTTTGCAGCAAATTTTTAAAGTGTTTCTCACAGGAATCACTATTTCCCTTCAGAACCCTGTGAGAATCCATTTCAACAGCTGCTGTCAATAGAGCTCTGAGGTGTGTGTCCCTCAATGGTAAGGCATGAGTAAGATGTTCTAACATTAAACGCCTTGCATTGTTAAGATTCTTGGATGATAGATGTTCTAGACCCTGTCAACAACAGAGATGTTTGAAGCCTTTCAATGGACAAGTTACCAGAATAGTATAAAGCATCTAATATTGGAAGTTGTGGGGAATGGTAGAATTAAAGGCAGTTAACAAAATTAAAAGAACTTGGTAGTTATAGACCTAACCTTTGGGAAATGTGGGTTAGACTTCATCTCACATAAAGCTATATCAAGTTCATCCAGAGAATCTTTGTAATCATCTTGACTACTCAAGCAACCAATCACCTAGAAATCATAAGTGCAACCACATTACATGTAAAATATTTCCCTAAACTGAGGATCTTTTACATACAAAAATGCTCAGCATATGTGGAAAAAGCTCCCTCAAGAAAAGGACATGTGCAAACACTTTTCTGGGAAAAAAACCAGATTTTTTATGAAAGAAATATAAAAACTCATTTTTTAGTCATGTGGTTTGCAAAAAAAAATTGCATTCAAATGGCATATGACAAATTCAGTAAAACAAGAAAACAAATTTAAACATGTAGCCTACGGACCTCAGTCAATAGCCAATGTGGCATAAACCTTGCTGCGATCTCACTTGAGGAATAAGCCTGTTGGCCACAAGAAACTTTTGGAGTTCAAAGATGCTGGGGCACTAAAGCCCACAAACACCAAGGCAGCTAAGTCCTTGAGTATTAAGACAAAAGAGCTCCCCCACTAATTAAGGCGAAACCATACTATCATAAGTGCTCTGATATCATTCAGTCTCATATTTCAGTGACAGCCATCTCTCTATGCCATGTTTGTCTCGGCAAGTCTAAGATGTTCAACGCTATTTAAGCGTGATTTTTATGGATTTTTCCTTTCATTCAAGATGTAACTCGTCAGAAGGGACACCTTGAGGGCATATTAGGAATATTCAATATTTATGAATGATACATCACATGCTTTCTAAATCATGAGTATATAATCCTCTTTCCTATTATATGAATTAGGAACTCAATTTCTTATATAAAGAGGTTGTGTATTCTACTTACATTAGCCAACTAGAATTTCATTCAAAAATCGAACCTTTAAGTCTAAGCTTAGAGAGTAAAATAAAAATCCAATAAAAACCATCAAATGAAACAATCAATTATTCATACAATGGCAAAGTCCCAATGGTAAATTTATAGACTTCAAAAATAGGACATGCCAGACAAACATATATTCAGGTGGTACTTCAAATAATTTTTGTGAATGTCGCAGACAATGAAAAAAAAAAGATAGAAAGAAAAAAACTCACATCCTCTATGAAAAGAGCCCATTGGAGGGCTTTCTTGATGTTAGCCGAATCCCAGTGGGCAAGACGGCCAGATGATTGATACCCAGAAGCGATAATCATCATATCTACAAACCCTTTTATTGATTTCATGAAATCATCTAAGGATATTGCTGGATAATTCCAGCTCCCCATTTTCAAAATGGCAAATTACAAGCAAGTTTAAGCTGCAGAGACAAAGAACAGAGAACTGCAATGGTGATTGATGAAAACTGGATGATATTACGGGCTGATACGGAGATCGAAATAGTTCTAGCACTTGACTCAAACGAGTTTTTACTCGTCACTATTTGGAATTTTACATGTAATAACCGGTCAGCAGAGCCCTTCTTCTGTGCCACATGATGTTTCCATATCACGGGCCCTGTTAGGGGTGGGCAAGAGCCGGGTCGGGCCAATATTTTTCAAACCCAAACCCGACTTGTTTTTATTGATACGGTTCGGTCGAAGCGGGTCTTTTAAAATATAAAATTGGAATCGAATCTAGCCCAGCTTGTTTGAAACAGGTCAATTCCACGGCTCAATGGGTCCGAACCTCATGATCAATTTCCCTTGCTACCCCATCATTAAGAATTTAAAAAGTAAGTAGAAGTAATTAAATTAATAATGCATTAATGCCCATTTGCTACCCCAACATTAAGAGTTAAAAAATGTAAGTAGAAGAATCACTATAAAGTATAATCAAATTCAAAATGCTAAAATATTGAGATCAATTTCATAGAATCTATGAGGTGCAGATAGAAGATTGAAAATGAAGATGCAGGCGAATTTGTTTTATTAAAATCGAAGATGGGGATGGATGAAGATTGAAATAGAAGATTTGAAAATGTGAACATCGATGGGATGAGAAGCTTACCGGTGGACACGACTCGCCGGATAAGAGAACGAAGATCACTCGCTGGAGAACGGAGATCGCCGGGTAAGAAGACTGTGGATATGAAGAATGCGGCTAGTCCGGGGAAATGACACAGTCCTGGGTAATCCGGCTATCTGAATGAATAAGCATAATAAAATACTCCGTAATAATTACAACAACATTAATATTAATATATATAACAATAATAATGTTTTAAATTATTATAAACACACATATATTTTGGGGGGAAAGATTTATCCAACAGAATATTTGTGACATTACAATCTTGCATGATAAAGATAATCAAGACAAAAGGTTCCAAAGAAGTACCGCATCTTAGAAAGGGTCATTTGGAAAGAGAAGGGCAACTCTTATTGCAACTCAAATGCGAGTCAAGTTTAGTGCAATTAGCTACTGATCATCTTGGCAGTTCTTGAGTAGTTGTATTTGATGTAGTTGCACTTTGAGTTTATTTCCTTTTTACTAGGATCTTATTCCTAATTGTATTTTAATTTCACTTCATTTTTTTGTCAATTTACCGAATGTGATCAGTGTTTGCTTCTCCCATTGCAACTAAAATGCGTGTCAATGTTTTTTATGTGCCTTTTGAAATTCAAAGTCATTTTTTATGATTTATCTGAGAGAAAACTATATAAATTATACCAAAATGAAGTAGGTGGGTCAATTTACCAAACATGTCTTCAAAAGGAAAATTAAGAAAAATTGGAAATAAATTTTCATACAAAACTGTAATAGTTCATACGAGTATTAAAATCAGAGAATACAAAGTATCAAAGATGAGAAAGGTTCATTGCAAATCCTAGTAATATTGATCTAATCCACACGCTTAACATACTCAGAAAGGTAAATCTGTAGTATTTCACGTGACCACATTTCTATCCTCTCGTTCACCTTCATCATCTAGAATCTGATTGAGGTCAAAGTCATGCATAGCAGGAAGGTTGAGATCAAAGAACTTTGTCTTATTGAGAACATGTTTGGATGGATATACACAAACATGAATCACTTGTTCCTCTTCTGATATTATTTTCTCCATTAGTAGAAGAGCCTTAATCTTGTCCTCTTCTTTCCAGTAAATTAAGTTATGTTATGTTTGGGAACATGGATTTGGATTTCAAATCCGGATTTGGCTCAAATTTCATGTTTGAAAAACTTAAAAATTTTGAATTTGGATATGAGTCAAATTCTCTCATTCATAACAAAGCTTAATTTAAAATTCATGCACATCCCCTTGTCATTTAAAATTTAAGATTTCAAATTTTGGAATTGAAATGCATGAATTAAAATGAAATGCTAGTTGCCAAACACTACCTTATAGAATTTAGACAATGCCTATTTGTATATAGAGATTTGAAGTTGAAGGGATTCTTTTTGGAGTAAGAAAAAAAAACTTAAGGAACAAGAATAGTTACTCTACTCCCTAGAGACGGTGGTGTAGATTCTTAAGGAGTTTACATTTAGTATTTGGTTCATACTTTGTATTTTTCAAAGAGTACTATGTCTAAAATACAAAAGGATAAACAATCATTTCATTAAACATTATTCCATTGAAGCTTGTAATAGATAGTTATTTGTGGACAAATAAAATTTCTATAATGGACAGATAATTAGGAACGGAGGAAGTACTTGGTATATAAACATTTTTTTTCTAAGTTTACTAAATAAATACCTATTAATATAATGTTGACATTGACTTGAATTTAGTAAATTTGATTGAAAAGAATACATATAATCATTTTTAAGTTAATTTAGCAACACACATGTAAAAAGTGAATAAACCATTTTTGGGAATCACCTTTTTTCGTTTTGATTCCGTGCAAAAGTGTTAAAATGGGTGAATTCAAAGAGGAAAATTTTTACCGGGCACCTTACAGTCTTACACACTCGATTTTATTTTATTTTTTATTTTTTTACTTTCCCACTACGCCGCAATCCCTCAGCCCACTGTGGATTTTTAGATCTATCCATTTCGTGTCTCTCTCCACTCTCGACTCTAAATTTATATTCATATCAAAGATTTGCAGACTGTGTAACTTCGGGTTGAGGAAATTTCATCTTCTTTGAGTAATACCATAAGAAAAGTCGATCAGCGGAGCGTATAAATTTGGCGTTATTGAAGAAAAAGAATAAATATACAGTATTTTTGAAAAAAACCCAGAAATTGTCGGCCGTAGAAATCTTGTGATCTAGGGTTTCTGGGATAGACTGCCGGGAGTGGAGAAATGGATAGCTCGCACGGTGCTGCGTTGAGCGCGTCTCAGGTATGGGAGATCAACCGATTCAATTCGCTCCTCTGTTTCTTGATGTGTTTGCTTGCTTTTTCTCTTTGGATTTGGCCGCGTTTTTTTTATTTATTATCGGATTCTATCCCGGAATAGGTTGGTTCGTACTTTGTGCAACAATATTATGAAGGGCTTCAGCAGCGACCTGATTGTGTTCATCTCTTCTATTCTGGTGCGAGCTCTATCGTTAGAGTTGACGGGGAGTCCAGTCAGTCTGCTTCCACACTCATGGTAAACAAAAAAGAAAGACTTTTATCTGATTAGTACCATTAAAATTGAATCAAGAATTTGTTTCTTGAATACGTATGGTTCCCCTGATATGGCGATTTTGATATCCTCTTGATGATTTTCGTTCGATCTGTTTGCGTGCTTTGGATTAGGCTTGAATTCATTTCCCCAACATCAACTTCACTTTGTAGACAAAGCAGTATGTAAAAGTGCAGCGTGTGTTGAGGATTGGAATTGTTCAATCATGTGGCTGTTTATGGTCTTGGCATTCTGTGTGCTGAGATTGCTTCTCGGCATAGATTATCGCATGATCTTGTGCAGGCTTCAATATAACATGCATGTTCATCGTTGCGGATGTTTTTTTTGCAGGACATACAGTCACTAATCCTGTCAGCAACTTTCTCAGGGATCAAGGTTAAGACAATAAATTCGCTCGAGTCTTGGAAGGGAGGTGTTCTTGTTGTGGTTTCTGGGACTGTGAGGCTCAAGGATTTCGGCAGGTGGAGGGAATTTGTGCAGACATTTTTCCTTGCTCCTCAGGATAATGGGTACTTTGTTCTTAATGATGTCATAAATTTTGGCGATGATGAGGTGAAGAACCAACCACCACCTGTTGCTGTTGCCGATAACCATTTTGGTGCTCAGCCAACTGCACACAGTCCTCATGGGGAAGCACCAGGTAACTTATGCTCTATTATTCCAGATGACTATATCTTGACCTTACGATTGTTTTGAAATAGTATCTTGAATATAGTTAAGTATTTCTCTGTATTATAGGTTTTATTGCTGTATATATTCGTTTGCAGGGCTTAACCTTACATATCTTTCTGTTTTTTCTTGGCAGCCTCAGACTACACATTGGAGGAGCAGGCAAGAGAATATATGAACATGGTCAATCTAGAAGGAAACAATTCTGTGGGTGAATATGATTATTCCAAGTATCAGCAAGATTTGCAAGAACCTGTCTATGAGGCAGAAAGAGTGAACGAGGAGCAGCCTCCATTCGAAGAAGAGTCATATGAGTTGCAAAACAATGTGGAAGCTTCTGAGGTTCCGGAACCATCTTGGGAAGAACCTGTTGTAGAGACAGCTAAGCTTAGTTATGCTTCCATAGTACGTATCCTTGCAGTTTTAGTGTTCCTACACAATATGCATTTTACTATTCATCAAGCATCATTTATCATTATACACTTTGGAAGAAGATTGGATTTCATTGCATCAATTGATCCACGTATGCTGAATGTTTTCTATGGATATTTAAATCTGAAAAACCTTCTTCATAGCAATTGACAATTTTTTTTATGACATACAGGTGCGTGCAGCAAAAGGAAAGTCTCCGCCATCTGTCAGTGTGCAGCCAACTTTCGCCAAGAGCACACCACCTCCTTCAGAATGGCAGCAGTCAGTCGTTCAACAGTCAAATGCCATCTCAGCTGTTTCATACGATAACAGTCATGAACATGCTGATGAAGGCTATTATCAAGAAGGTGAACACTGGTCTTGTTCTTATTAGTGTACACCAGATACAATTTCTGGTGAAATGTGATTTTTTCTTTTCATTTGCAATTGACAGTGACACAGTGTTCAAGTTTCCTAATGATGATGTAACAACTCATTTTTATGTGACAGGGGAACCATTGTCTGTGTACGTTAGGAACTTACCAACTACTGTATCAACTCAAGATCTTTTTAGAGAGTTTCAGAACTTTGGAACAATCAAGCAAGATGGAGTGTTCTTGAGAAACCGCAAGGTTGGTTATTTCTCTTTTGTTGATTTTGTGCCTCAATGAAATGGTTACATGCTGATATAGGAATTGTAATTGATGCACAGGAAGTCGGTGTCTGCTATGCCTTTGTTGAATTTGAAAATATCCAGGGTGTTCAGAATGCTCTCAAGGTTTGATATCTATCCAAATTGAGTTTTCATCATCACCATCATATCACCATCACTATCATCATATGTATGTACATCTTTAGTGACATCACGTCTTTTTTTCTTAGGCTTCTCCTATACATTTAGATGGAAGGCCAGTCTTCATTGAGGAGAGGAGACAAAACAACAACAACAACAACAACAACATGGCTTCGCGTGGAGGACGTATGTTCTTCAAAACTTTGACTGATTCTAGCTTGTCCATTTGCTTTGTTTTGCGACCCGTTCTTTGATACTCGTATTTTGTTTTAGAAACTTGTTTATGTACGCCTTGCATTTAAACCACTGAGTTTGGGAATTTGACTTGATCAGGAGGAAGGGGTGGAAGGGGTAGAGGTCGATCTGGGGGGCGCGCATTTGGAAGGGGAACTTATCAAGACAATGCTGATTATAACAGGGGGAAGAGTAACGGCTTTCGTGCGGTTTAAGATCTCTGGTCTGCCAGTGTGGCAGAGAGCAATTGCAGCTGGGTGTTTTTTGTCTTTTCAGTGGTACTTGGTCGTGTAACTCGTTTTGAGGGTTTTGATTTTTGAATGTTCGGGGGTGAGGTGTTAGGGTTTTGTTTCCTTTTTTTATAACGCGCAAACATAAAAACCAACTTGTGTGCTACATTGATGTTTTGCATTGGGTTAAAGAATTTTTGACATTGCTTTTTTGGTGCTTGCATTCTCAATGTTTTGTCCCCATTTCCCCTTCCTTTCAAGAATGACCCTAGAACACATCTTTTCTAGTTTCCAAACCATCTTTTAGCTAGGGATGGTTGAATTTGATTTGGGTTTCATTACATCCAAATTATGGCTTGGTTGATGATTGTAAAGCCATGATTGGCTTGTTTTCTACTCTGTATTTGTCTCTGTTTTCTTTGTTCATCGTTTGTCTAATGTTGTTTTCACACCTCGCACGATGGGTAGGTTGCACTACGGTGTTTGGGATACGATCCCCCTTGACTGACTTCATCGTTCATCTTTTAATGAATATTTCCAATTTGATATTTTGTCGAGTCAAGCCGGATAAATTTTGAGTTTTAATTATTCTTAATTTGTATTGTATATTGATACAATGAAATATTCTGAAATTTTGAAAGATTTCGACAAATAAATTTAGTAAAATGATTTTTATACTAATATACCTATACATTACAAGATTGTTTATTTAGAGCTCAATTTATCATGTTTGATTTGAAAAAATGAAATTGGAAGTAAATTTTATGCTATTTTTCCTCCAAAAAGACCAAGAAAAATCTATTTCTATTTTGTGTAAATGAACTGAACTGAAGACAAGTGAAAACAAAACAAAAAAAAACATGTTCATAATACTAGACAAAGAACCTATGCACAAAAACTCATGGAGGTAGAGTTTCTTGCCCTCCTAAGAATCTTTTATTCATAATTTTCTTTAAAAAAATGATGAATTTTCCTGGTGTGATTCAATCCCCCCATTAACAAGCAGCTGCAGATGGCACTGGTCCTGGTTGTATGGTGGTCATCACCTTATGTGCTTTATTACTTGCTTCATCATCATCATCATCATCATCAACCTCCCATAAGAACTTGGCAAATGCAGCATGAACATGGCTGCAAAACGCGTTTTTGTCTTATTTAGATCGATTTCTTGTATTCGTATTCGCGATTCGTGGAATTTACAAAAGAAAAAACAAAAAATTGCTATTTTTTTTTTCTGGTATGGGTAGAAAAGCAGAACCTGTCATGGGAAGAAGCTTGAACAGCACACTGGAAATAGGTGGTGGCTCTTTGAGCATCATGGTGAAGCTCCCACACCAGCTTTGCATACTGTGAAAGAACTTCACCATCACTTGGATCTGCCAAAATTGCCCTTGAGTAATATTCTTCTGCTCTTTTTGCATCTCCTTTTGTCTGTTTCACAAAAACATTTACCAAGGATACATTTGGAAAGAAATTTTTTTTCTAATGAGGTAAAGACATAAATAAATAGAGGGCCTGTTTGGGAATAACGTTAGTGATTAGCGTTAGCGTTTTGGATAAAATTTTAACGGTACAGATTACTTTGAAAATGCTAACGCTAAATGCTGGCCGTAGATAGCTTTTTCAAAACGCTAACGCTAATCTCTAACGCTATTCCCAAACAGGCCCAGAGTGAATTCAATCTTTTAAGACTCACTTGATACAAGAATTGGGCATAATTCCTCAAGAACAAAGGGTTGCTGGGATTTTCCTCCAACATCTTCTTGTAATGATCCTCCATGTTGAATCCATGGCTGTCACCTCCTCCGCTGTAAAAGTCCACCGGTCTATATCCGCCGCCGCCGCCGCCACAGTCCGAGCCGGCGTCCCCGGCTCCGTTTCCCGTCACAAGGCACATCTCCGTTCCCGCCCCGTCAATTTCTTCTTCTTCTTCTTCTTCGCTCTCTTGGACACCATATCCGGCTCTCAAGCCGCGGTAGGAGAAAGACGGGATGGTTTCGAGGCCGCCATTGACGGGGAGAGCGAGCGTGAGCTCGCGATCGGGGAATCCCAGAACTTCCAAGTTCCCCTCCGACAGGACTTTTCTGAACCCTTTGCCGGAAACCTCGGACACTGAAGGGGAGCTTGGGGAAGAATTGCAGGAAATTTTGCGGGGCCCGAAGAAGAATTTCTTGAACTGGGGGTGGTGGGTCGGCGTCGCGAGCTCCGACGGGTGGTGGTGGTGGTGGTTGTGGTGGTGGCCGGAGCTATCTGGAATAAGGGATCCAAGAACAGGGGTGGAGGAGCTTCTTAGCAGCATCTTTTTCTTTCTACTTTTGGTAAAAAGTTGCGATCTTTGAATCAAGAATCAGCAAGAAAGAGGAGACGAGCTTCAATGAATCAAGAATTGGGCAGGGAGTATTTAATTTATTTACAAATTTATGATGGGCAGACAGACAAGGAATTGATGGAGAGTATATGCATGTGAATGAATGAATTTGGACGGTGGAGAATGGAGCAAAAAATCATTTAGGAGAGAGAGAGAGATGCATAAAATTCAGTGGGCATGAAAGGACAAATATGTTGAATGGAACAAAGTTCCTTTTTTGATTATAATGTCAAATAGTTAAGAACTATCAATTTTTTAAACGGATCTACTCGTATTTTAGATAATGTTGTGGAATTGAGCATCAATATCTCGTGTAGTGACTCATATGACAACGGTATATAAATTTATACATACACAAGACATTTTCATTTGTAAATTATGTTTAATTTGTTCACATGCGATTATCACCGTGTTCAAATTTACGGAGGATTGTCATTCGTAATTCCAAAATCAAAATTATCCCCGCATGGTCTTAATACCATACACTACTTTCTCTCATTGCTGACAACGGCTCGCAATACAACGTAAGCTCACCACCATCTTTCTCGAGAGATTTTATTTCGTTAAAATATAAGTTAACGTACGGAATATGCAGTAATTTGCTTCTCCTAAAAAATGTCTTCAGAAGTCTAAAATGAGATCGAGAAGAGTTTTTAAATTTAAAACTCTCTTCGTCCCAAAAAAATATCACATTATGCAAAATGAAATAAATTTTTAGTTTCTTTTAATCATTTTATTTTACGATTGATATAAAAATAAATAAAAATTACACATTTAAATAACATGTCAAAAAATTCAAAACAAGATCTGACAAAATATTTCATTTTATCAAATTAGTATTCAATAAAAATACATATGACTAAACAAGAATTATGATGTTCTTTTTGAGTATTGAATAGCAAATCAATTGGTAATAGGAAGATCTCGTTCTTTTCAATTTATTTTGTATACAATGTAATTAGAATGAGATCATAGCATATGACCAATAATTTTAAGTTACATTAGAACTAGAAAAGATTAATACGGAGTATATATTAAAGAAAATATACTTCGTATGTATATTGAATAAAAAATGCTAGGGTGTCCTCAAATGGTCGCTACGAGAAGTGCACTCATGCTTCACACAAATGATTATCAAATGTGTCATTTGTGTGAAGAATGAGTGCATCCCTGATAGCAACTTTTTGGGGGCACCTAGCATGACCCATATCCAATACCCTTGTGGTTCACAAGCTTTTCGTTTTTGAATTTTTGCCACTTTAGAAAATAGAGAAAGATGAGCGTTCCATCAGATCCGGCAAGAAAATCACTTATGGTAAATTAAATGTTAATTGTAAATTATCCCGGGTAGATTACAATAGAACCTAGATATGATACTTACAAGACAACTATGTTATACATAATGATACTTGCAAAAGCAACTATGTCTAACATACTTGCACACTTCTACTGCGTTTGGAGTATCAATGAATTAATACAAGCCAGCATATTAAAAAAGAATAATCAGAATGTTTCATTGACATTGGAACTTCATGTCATTCTTTGACATAGTCCTGATTGAACCCTGATATTATTTTGTTTGTAAAATTGACAACTCGTATCCCTAAATTTTCGGAAAACCTTCAACCTAATTCTGATCCGAATTCAACCTTTCAATTGCATTCTCAGAATATAGTTGATTGTGAAGTTAAAGAGCCTGTTTGCGAATAGCGTTGAAGATCAGCGTTAGCATTTTGGATAAATTTTAACAATGCAGATTATTTGAAAACGCTAACGCTAAACGCTGCCTGTGGATAACTTTATCAAAATACTAACACTAATAGCTAACGCTTTTTCGGCCCAATAGATTATTGGGCGAGGAGTTGAGGGGAAAGGGTAGGAAGGTCAGAGGATACAATTGATAACCCGAACCGTGCCCAAGAAAAAATTGCCCCATTAGTCTAAAGCTCGCCTTGTTCCGACTCTTTTTCCGGCGACGTTGCTTGATTCTATCTTTATATTCCACGAGGACAAAAGAAAAGAATTTATCCTATCGGAAGAGAAAATGCGTAAAAGCCCCCCCGAGGGCTTTCAATTCGCGATCATCCAATTCTCAGATGAATTTCATGAGAATTCTTAGGTCAGTGTTCTCCGGAGGAGCGAAGATAATGTTGGGCTGCAAATGGTTGCCATGGACCCGAGTCGCCGGCTTCTTAGATCAGCAACCGCAGGCGTTCTCATTGCCGGCGCCGATTCCTCAGTGGCCCCAAGGTATGCTCATCCAACGTTTAATTTGGATGAAGCTTTGATTTTTACTTCAAAGTTTGATTCCTAAAATGCTAATGAAGCTTTGATCTTCTAGATGTTCTTCTTAGGGTTTTTGTTAAATTTCAGACTGGTTAGCTAAGCTCAGAGAAGAAATCTATGTCATAAACAGAGAATTATTCTCTTTGGTTCGCAAATAACTGATCATTTCTCACATGTTTTCCATAAATGTTGTCACTTTGTATGTCATCACTGCGCTTATAATGAGTATTCTGCTCATGTTTATTTCGGTTTAAGAAGAAAAAAAAGAACTATTTCCTTGAGTGCTTTTCCAGTTCTTGATTTGCCATGAAGTTCATAGTGTTGAAAGCCATTTGCCGAAGCTTATCATATTGGAATGGTTAGTGTTACTGTTGATATGAGATAAAAAAATTACCAGACTTTTGTGGTAGACTTTTCTGGCATATTCTGGTTATTCTGCTTATCAGCTAAGTAGCTTTTGACCCAGTAATTTGGCTGATATGGATGCAATCTGAGTGCTATTCCTTTCAGAAAATTCAGTACATTCAACCATTTCATCCAAATGGCCATTACCAAACAGGCGTGGTAGATTTTAAATGCCAAACTTGAAAATTGAGATTGACGGATGCCATTTCCATTTTTATATTTTGTATCGTATTCCAGTTCATTTATATAAACCTTTCCCCTGATCAACTTGTAGGTCTGTGGTAATAATGAAATGATAAATGAATGATCAGGCACAGGATTTGGCACTGGGACAATTAGATTAGGTGAGCTAGAGGTTTGCGAGATCGTGAACTTTGAGTTAATTTGGGGAAGCAACTTGTCATCTTATGGTGGTGGTAGGCAAGGTGTTAGCTTCTATAAACCAACTTGTTTGCCCCAAGGATTTTTCAACCTTGGGTATTATGCACAACCCAACTCAAGACCTTTAAGAGGTTTTGTTCTAGCAGCCCGTGAAGTTTCCAACCCAAATAATGTGAAATGTCTTCCCGCTCTCCAAAATCCCGAGGAATATACATTAGTTTGGTGCTCAAATGATGGGAACGAGTATGATTTTGATGGACCATCGGGTTTCTTCTGGTTACCACAACCACCCAAAGGCTATAAATCTTTGGGCTTTGTGGTGACCAACAAACCCACCAAGCCCGAACTAAGTGAAGTCAAATGCGTCCGAAATGACCTCACAGATATGTGTGAAACCCACCGGGTGATGCTAAAAACGTACTCAAAATTTTCTCAAACACCTATTTTGGTCTGGACCATGAGACCTTGTCACAGAGGAATGCATGGTAGAGGTGTTTCGGTTGGTACATTTTTTTGCAGTGAGTATTTGTCCTCAAGAGAAGAGTTAGGGATTGTTTGCTTGAAGAATTATGACCCCAATCTTCACTCAATGCCTAATCTTGATCAGATACATTCACTCATTAGGCACTATGGTCCAACCGTCTTCTTCCACCCGGATGAGGTATATCTCCCATCTTCTGTTTCCTGGTTCTTTGAAAATGGAGCATTGCTGTTCAAGAAAGGTGATGCAAGAGGTGAGACCATCGACCCCGAAGGCTCCAATTTGCCAGCTGGAGGTACAAACGACGGAGAATATTGGATTGATTTGCCTAATGACAGCCGTAGAGGTACCAATTGAACCATTCTTTTACCCGATCTATATACATGAATGTTGTGTTTATGTACTTATTGTGTTTTGTATGCCTTGTGTGTTTGGTGTTCTCTACTTGTAGTTCTTTTTTCCTTTGTTCTCCTCTATTTGTTCTATGCTTCTATGTGTTTTCTGATTTATCTGCGCTCTCTCTACTTTATACATCTCCTGCGGTCTTTTTAATCTTTGCAGCTTGAGTCGGGGATCTCTTTGGAAACAATCTTTCTACTTTCGAGTAGGGGTAAGGTCTGCGTACACATGCCCTCCCCAGACCCTACTCTCATGGGACAAAACTGGGTTGTTGTTGTTGTTGTGTTTATTCATTTAATGTACTCATTTAGGCCTTGTTTGGTAGCATTAATCAGCTTTCTTTTCTTAAGGAGTCGGTTTTACCAAACGTGTGTCCTTTCAGAAACCCCAGCAGATTCAGCCACCATTTCACCCAACTAAACTACCCCTCTTGCCAAACATGCCCACACTCTTGTTAATTTTTAGGAAGTCGTCCAAAATAGGAGTAAAAATAATCCTTGTTTGCAAAATAGGAACGACATGTTTATATCCTCAAACAATGTATATTGGCATTCTGCATCCCCTTTTCGCATTATATGCTGACATTATATTGACATTGTAACTCTTATCTCGGAAATAAAAATATGGGAACTCTTATTTTGATTCCCTTTTTACAGGTAGAGTCAAGCATGGCGACATAGGGAGTGCAAAACTTTACGTTCATGTAAAGCCAGCCTTGGGTGGCACATCCACGGACCTAGCAATGTGGGTATTTTGTCCCTTCAATGGGGCAGCTACCCTAAAGGTCGGGGTACTAAGCTTCGGCATGGGCAAAGTTGGTCAGCATGTTGGTGATTGGGAGCACTTCACACTGAGGCTAGGCAATTTTACGGGAGAGCTGCAGAGCATATACTTCTCGCAGCATAGCGGGGGCAAATGGGTAAATGCACATGATCTAGAGTTTGTAGAAGGGAACAAAGCCGTTGTATACTCGTCGAAACACGGCCACGCCAGCTACCCCCATCGGGGCATCTACATCCAGGGGTCCTCGGCGCTCGGGATCGGAATCAGGAACGATGCGGCCCGCAGTAACTACCGTGTGGACTCGAGCGTCCGCTATGAAGTTGTTGCGGCGGAGTATCTCGGTGACGGCGTCGTGAAGGAGCCGGGTTGGCTGCAGTACATGAGGGAGTGGGGCCCGACCGTTGTGTACGATTCGAGGAACGAGGTGAACCGAATCGTCCGCCGTCTGCCCGCGTCGCTTCGGTGCTCGGTGCAGAATGTCGTCAACAAGCTGCCCGTCGAGTTGGGCGGGGAAGCGGGGCCCACCGGGCCGAAGGAGAAGAACAATTGGGTGGGAGATGAGAGATGGTGACTCTCATATAGTGTGTGTGTGTCTGTGTGTGTATAGCTCTTCTCCCACTGCATCTCCTTGCATATATCTTCCATGTTAGGTTAGGTTAGCCAACTTACATAGTACAAATTTTGGTGTAAATTGTTCCTCATTTTATTTCTAAAGAAAGAAGCCTGCATGTTGCTCATGCGATGATGACATCATTCTTTTTTAATATAAAAAGGATGGATCTCATTCCTGGTTTCTTAGGACCGACCCGAAATACTCCGTATAAGGATTGTGATCAGTCTCATAAAAAGACCACTCCTTTACTAAAGAATTTATTGAAAAGATTCTTATGCATTTCTGATTTCTCCATTCACAAATATTTAAGAATTTTATTGTTTACCCCACATTAAGGTACTCAGGTCATATTCTTTTCAACTTATTTTTTTGTGGTTGAGATTTAGCCTGAAAAAAAGGGAAAAATGCGAGTAATTCAAAAATTCATTCAAAAACAATCATTCTCATGATCATATATCAAGATTCAACAATGCATATATAAATCGAATTTAGATTTTAGAATGATTAATAATATTCTCTCCACCCCTGACAGAAAGGATTTCACGAGGTTTTATGTAAAAGTAAAAATATTAATCTATAGTTATTTTCATATTTGTTCTTGATAGTATAGTTATCAAGATATGATAAGTGAGATATGAGAAACGGTGTGAAAGTAACGCACACAAGAACAAAAGAAATGTTTTTAAAACCTTAATAATACCCTCTTTGTCACAAATTATTTGTTATCATTTAACTCGATGTTAATTTTAACCATAAATTATAAAAAAAATTATATTTAATTATATTTAATTATGCAAAATGGTTCTTTTGACTCTTGAACATCGGGTCATATGGTCATAATATGACCCGGGGCCCATACGGTGCTTCATTCGTAAACTTGATGATTCCTATCTCTCCAAACCTTAGAGCACTGGTAACACCCCTCACGCCCACCGGCGTTACGGGGCGTTTAACGCCCCGGGGGCGTGAAACACCGCCCCCCGCCGGCGTGAAACGGGCGTGAGGGCGCCTGCGTCAAACGAATGACACGGCGTGAGTTCGGCGCTGCTCCCTCCTAACGGCTAAAATAGCCGTTGCACCCCAAATTAAAAAAAAAAAATTTTTCCTATAAATTCAACCCTCCCCAACCAATCTCTCACACCTTCTCTCCAATCTCTTCATCTTTCTTATTTTTAAATTTCAAAATTCAAATCCCTCCTCCCAATTTTCAACATGAATCCTTCCGGCTCCGGCTTCGATCCCGACAATCTCCCCCCGAGTGACGCCGCGATGTGGTTCTACCAAGAGTGGGGCGATCGACCGCCGATATACGAGACGCAACAATCGGGGTACGTCGACCGAGATTCGGTTCCGGAGATTCAACCGGAACCGTCCGGATCGAAAAAAAGTACACGCCGGAGGAGCCACAAAGCCAAAGGCACGTTGACCGATGCGGCACGGGCAATCCAAAAGTGGACGCCGGAGGAGGAGTGCATATTGGCGTCGGCTTGGGTTGACGTCTCCGAGCATCCTATCATTGGTAAAAAATTTGTTTTTTCTAATATATTTATATTTTTATTTATATATATTATATTTAATGGTGTCAAAAAAAA